GACGAATGAAGTCCCGAGAGGCTTGAAGGTGGGGGAGTCAAAGGAGTCTTCCTACACTTCTTCATTCTCCCCGTGTGCAGTCACAGGGATTGCAGCTTCGGCCAGAGTTGTAAGACACATTGTTGACTATTGCAAATTCGGTGAGAAACAAAACAAAATAGACAGAGGTCTGGAAATGATTAACCAGCAGTGGACTAGTGCACTCATCTATGGCCAATATCCTGAATGTTCTACTCGTACCCTTTAATTAGCAAAAGATTTGAACTCATATGATTTGCCTTCTTATCCAAATAACCCATTCATTTATCTAATTGAGATCAGAGTTGCAATGAGAGCCCTGCATTTCTGAGGACTGGAGTTGTTCTTTCTGCCCAAACCTGGGTAGAAATCGATGGACTAAATGAGGTTTTGTGTGCTTTACAAGTAGCCATGTATACAGTACATACTGTACATATGCCACCTCATTTATAACTTTTCATTTCATTTCGCATGTTGGAGTCCTCTGAAATCAAGACCTCAGGTTCTAAACTTGAAACAGCCCAGAGTTCATTTAACACTATAATACAGTCCTCTTCTCCTCACGTTTCAGTGTTTGAAATAGAGAGGGAGAATGAGACGCACGCACACAGACAGGGATTAGGGCATTTTGCCCAGTCTCATGAAACAAAGCCCTGAGTCAATAAATTAAACCGAGATGCTCTATAGATTCAACACAAGCTGGATCAAGCTGATCAATCAGGAAACACCATAATAATCTACCCATTTTATTAGAACACGATTAATTATTGCTGCCACCTCACTTGTTCAGGATTGTAATTTGTCTGAAAGATTTGAACTCATTGCTACACTGTAAATTGCATTTCTTTGTCATTTCTATCTTCATCTGACATGGGCATCTAAAAGACAAAGCTACAGACATTTTTTGTACCTTTGTGAATATTCTGACAAGCTGCTTATTACATTTCTTCTACTAACATTTTTTTATTGTTTTGAAACTAGCCAAAGCAGTTCACTCTCATTACCTCCTGTCCTGCACACAATATGTCCTTTCTGAAGATCACATTGTTTATTTTCTATTAGATTTGGAATAATTCATGATCACATACAATATTTTTAAATAAGAAAATAATGTAAGGAAATATTTTGTTTGGCAGACATTTCTTCCAAGAATGATAAGAGTCAAAATAAACTTAAAGATAAAAAATAAAGAATACAATTACCCCACGCAGAGGAAATAAAGAGGCTACGGAATTTTTCTGGCTGGCAATAAGAGCATGTAAAGAGATATTTACTTAAGTGGGGTGCAAGGGCTAATTGTACTGTCTTACAATAAAGTACACTGAAATTCTAACTTGTCATGTGCAGTACAGTAATCTATTGCTCCAGAACCAGAGACATTAAATGCAATATTCATAATTTATCACTGTTAGAATAGCCAGCAGGTCTATTACAGACTCTGTCCCTCTGAGTTATGGCAATTTTTAAGAATCTAAGAAAGTTTACAGATGAGGGGAAGCCATTTAGCAGTTGGCACTGTAAAAAACAAACTAGGCATATTTATTTTTCAGTCAGAGGCAGGAATGACACAATGGGGAAATCTACCATACAGAGTTCAATTATTTTAAAATGCCTTCACGCCCTATTTCTTCTGTTAAGAAACACGCATGCATGTTGCAATATTCAATGAGCCATTACAGAAAGTCATCCTACAGTAGTTGATGTGTCAGGAGAGCTGCAGTGGCTTGTAGGAGCTAGTATGACATGTTTGAAGGTAGGCCGGACACAGAGGCCCTGGGTGACCCACGCTAGTCCTTCCTGGGAGCCATCTGCCTAGCCAGCTGTCACATGGTTAGCACGAGCCCTCTCAAAGCTAGGCGCTTCTCCCTCCCAGCTCTCTAATCTCCCGAGTCCATGCGCAGAGGGAAAGAGAGAGAGACTGCAGCGAACCTTAGGCAGCTGCGCGTTCCGGGGCAGGTGTCTGGTGGACAGGAAATTCGGTCATCATGTCAAACCAATTACGCGTTTAAAATATCCCACAGCAGCACTGGAGAGACAGTAGATACATACAGTAAAAGTGTGCATGAGAGCTGTTTTGACATCCCACTGTCCAGCAGATTTGACATTCATATAGAAGAGCTGTGGTGGGATTCTGCACTATGGGAATAGCATTATACAGTACATTCATGTTGCATAGTTAAACAGGTAAAAATGTAGCATATATACTGTACTGTATATAGTAAAGGGAAATGTGCCGGTATGGGTGGTAGTTACTGTAGAAGTTCTAGATGTACTTTTATGTTCAAATTCATATTAAATATTTTTAATACATGTGTCAGATAAACTACAGCATGTTATAAGAAAGAACTGATGACAGTTCTGAAACCCTTTCTGGAGAATGACCAGAACTATTGGCAACTGTGAGTCTTGCACTGACTTAATTAAATTCAGCAAAGGGCAGAACGGAAGAGTGCTTCACACTGAATATGTATTGTCAGTACTCTCCCTTTCAGTTTTCAGACCTGTAGCATGCAGCAACAAACCAGCTGTCTGCCCATCTTTTAGAAACGTCAATCACCAAACTGACGGAGGCAAAGGTTGAACTTATATTTGTCGTGAATCTGACTTTCAGTGTTCGGAATGAGAGTTTCTAAAGTTTCACATAAGTTCTTTCGTAATTGATGAACAATTGCAATCAGTGACTTGCGAATTGTGAATGCAGTGATCAGAATCAGAACTGGCATCACATACAAGCAAAATTAGATATTGCACAAGTGATTTATCCAGGAAAAATGCTTTAGTGCAATCCTACCTGCAACAGGGTGCTCGGAAATAGTGGGGCCAGATCTTCTGTCTGACTCATCTCAGCTGTGATGACACTGCAAGTTCTTCTGTCTTTGTAACCAAAGGGTAACCGATCTTAAAATCAATCCATTGCAAATGAGCCTATTCAGAATGACACTCTAGCTGCCTGTAGCAAAAGCAAGAATTGAAAAAAGAATGAAAGGAAATAAAAAAATCGATTAAATCATTAGAGCTTTGCATTGTTTACACTTCCTGATTCTCCCCATGTGGGTTCAGGCAGCGTCCCTTTGAGCCGAGACAGAAAGACGTTAGGAGTGATTTGAAAATTTGCACATAATAAAGAAAATCGCCAGTAACAAACACTAAAGTCCTTATACCCAGGCGTTCACTTGAATTAATTCAAAGGAGAAAACTAAGGTTTAATGAAAATAAATCTCCTACTGATATGTTTTGCTGTTGCCGGAGCTGACAGGAAGACAGAAGGGAAATAAAAGGTAACTACATTATGCATGTCAACTACACAGTCACAAAGGTGCATTAGAAATGTCAGCTCCTTTGATTGCAGAACAGTGGCTAAAAAAAATAAACTAGCATCTGGCACAGGAGCAGCAGCAATAAAAAAGTACAAGTACTTCAGAGTTATTTATTTGTTGCTGTTTGACTCATAATGCAAAAAGTCCACAGAAAGGCTTTTAGGTGGGGAAGAGAGGACTCAGATGAGGGGGTACTGAGAGATAAAAGCATGGAGAAAGCACTATTCGTAATGAAAAGAGCAGCTGCTCGTGGTCGCACAGCTAACAGGAGAGGAGCATGCTATGTGGGTGAAAGTCAAAGTGCCCAGATGGCTGACAGAGACAGATCACTCAAGCACTCAGGGCATCATGTATGAGCAACCTGCTCAGTGCCACACTAGAGCACTTGTTTCAAAATCTACAGCACTACAGAAGCCCACAAAACAGAATAATAGTCATATGTTCCCCACCGGAGGACTTATGCTTTCTGCTATCCCAAAAGACAATACTCAAGGAGCTTCGAACATGGTGCTGATACTGGGGTGTCACCCGTCTGTGTTCCCGTTAAGGAAAGGAAGATTGGAACCCCACCCCACTTATCCTAAAGTGGAGAAAAGTGCCTCTGGATCCTCTTTAAAGCCCATGACCTGAAGATGTTTTTGGAGGGATACATTAACTCCTGAAAGCTAACAAGTCACTTAGCAAAAAGTATAGAACTGTCCAGATTTAGATTGAGTCATGTTTCCTGTGCTGAAGATGCTACACCAGTCAATGGATAAACACAATGTTAATGTTGACTAATTAAGCCAATTAGTGGTGTAATTAGGTAGGTGAGAGATGGATTAGTAAGGATAGCTAGGAGACCTTGTTGCTTTTCATGATGTAGGAGGGCAATACCTGATTTATTATTTATTATAATAAAACAGAAATAATCTGCACTGGCAGCTTCTTTGGAAGACAGTCTTATTTATGAAAAGCGCTGCTTGCAGTGTGGAATAGTATGAGGTTCTTAGACACATGTGAACAACCCCACAGTGTACTGAGCAGTCCATGTTCTATTAAAAAATCCCCAGGCTGTACCGAAGGGAACCATCTGCTTACTCTGGATTGTAACAGATCTTCCCCCCTGCATTCAAGTTTATTTCGAGTGAATAGCTAGTGAATGTCTCGAACAACAAGAAGAGACATCATTTGAAATATATATATAATGACAACTACCTTTTTCTTCTTATTTAACCTCATAAATATTCTGACATCTGCTTTTTGTTTTTCATTTTAGAACCAAGCATTCCAACATCTGTCAGGAAGACACTTTGACTCTCTGTCCTAGTAAGCGTCTCTCAGATAAGATTTAAGATATCCACAGGGATAGAAATCAGTGATATTAAAAAAATGTGTATTAAAGCTGATGCTCTCCAGACTACGATGGCACTGACTTTAATAAAGTTTGATCAAGTGCATGTCAGATTAACAGGAAATTACGGATGATTCCATATGTAAATACATGAAAAATACAGGCGCTTATTTGAAAGTGCTACCACAGTAGTTTTGAAGAGCAGGTGTGTGAGATAGCCCCATGCCTTGCCTCGGGCAGCTGCAGAAGTAGGGCACAGCGTAGCACCACGACGTCACGCTTGTTGCATAACTGCGACTTTGACCTTTGGACACAGTTGTTAGGAGGTGGAGCCAGAAGACTGTGGAGAGGCTTTAAACTTGGAGAAAACGTGAGCGAGAACGGATTTCTGACCATGGCGCTCTCCCACTTCGACTGCATTGTGGTTGGAGCAGGAATTCAGGGTTCCTTCGCGGCTTATCACCTTGCGAAAAGTAACAAGCAAGTGCTCCTCCTTGAACAGGTCAGTACTGAGGGAGCAGCTCCTTGTCCGTGTGTCTCACCCAGCTGGGCCATACAGCGCGATCCGTACTCATGTACAGTATGATCTGTACAGAAGTTTGCATGATCTGTGCAGAAATGCCACCATTCTGCTCATGTTTCCACACAGACTCAGAGGGAAAAACTATTTGTAACTTTAAAAAAAAACTGTCATTGCACTTAATTGCAATGATAGGTATATTAATATCCATATACTAGGTAACCGATGTATGCTGTAGCAGTCTGCTCTGCAGGACTAAATGAACAGTGAACGGGCTCTTTGGCAGCATTTTAAAACTTCTAGTGAATGTCACAAAAATGGCATGTCTTTCATATAACAGTATAAATGTTAAAAGATGATGTGAGTGTTTTTGCCCACCAATAAGAAGCTAGAGATGTTTCTCATAAAAAAATGTGATTTTTTTTTAAATGAGGACACATAAGGGCAAATGAAAAGATATATGATTTACCAAGCACCCCTAACCATTTGCAAATAAAATGTAGCTGCTGTTGTGCTTGAAAAGTGGATGTGATTTTGAATTGTGGAATTTTAAAATGACCCTACCCATATGCATTATCCACCGGTCTTAATAACTCAGATATTTCTCCAAGGAAAAGACTTAAACTAGCTCTCACAGGTTGTGGCACTTCACCCATGTTTGTGCATTAGAAACCTGAATGATGTTCACCTCGATTCTTTCCAATATTATATCACCTCTGAAATATGAAAGAAAGACGGAGATCGGCTGTCACAGGAGCACAGGGGCAAAAGACAGGAAGAAAAACCACTCTTGTCTCATTCCACTGGCGGCAGTGCTGTTTGGTGGCCTGGATTCTCAGCTCAGGGCTGGTTTTGTGTTTTTGAGACCTGTCCCCGGTTTAATTTGAATCTCTCCCCTTGCAGTTTGTTCTCCCCCACTCTCGGGGAAGTTCACACGGACAGACACGCATCATTCGGAAGGCCTACGAGCAAGAGTTCTACACACGCATGATGGAGGAGAGCTACCAGCTGTGGGAACAGCTGGAAAAAGAAGCCAATGTGCAATTGTACAGGTGCCCCATCAATCTGCCTTTAACCCAAAGGACCCAGACCCTGCAGAGTGGCTTCTCATTTTAGTTAGCCAGGCCAATTATTTGGTGAATAGCTACGCTACAGCAATGATCAGTCACGCTACCTCATCAAACAGGCATTTCTGTAGTTTAAAGTAATTCAAGTAGGGGGCCGCGTCAGCATGCGCAGGCTGCAAAGGAACAACTAAAGGTTTATTCCGTGCTGAAAAGAGAAGAAAAGAAACACGATGTTTAGACTGTGGAGCCTTCTTCGGGTGTGAGCCCTGTGTCTTTACATTCATTTTGACACCTGAAGAGGGCTCCACAGCCGAAACGTTGTGTTTCTTTTCTTCTCTTTTCAGCGTTGAATAAACCTTGACTTATTTCTGTAGTTTAACCTCTTCATTGATCAACGGAAAGTGTAGGATCCACTGTACAATAGGCTTCTTATCAGCATAATACCACAGTTTATTCAGGGATAGGATCCTGTATCCATGTAGACCTTGGCTGCATTACCCAAAGCTTGAAATGCACTGGACTCACAGGAAACGACCCCCGTGTCCTTGCATTCATTTTTCCATCTCTCCCTTCACAGCAGGACAAATGGCAATCAGGCATCTGATTAGATTTTTTTGGAGAGGGATTGATAAGCCTTCTGTTAAAGGAATGATTTCTTTACATAAGTGTAAAATCTTTCTGTACAGTATTAACATCATGAAATCTAGTTCTCTCATCCTGTGCCAGTGAATTATGGCCCGGAGTTTAAGGCAGTCTGTGGCCCTGTAGCTGTGAAAGCTTGAAGTATGAAAACTGTGGTGAAAAGTCAGTATATCTTTGTGAATGATTCTGTGTGTTGGGGCCATATTTCACAATCGGGTAGGGACCACTGGACAGACAGAGATATCCCAAATCTCCATAGCTATAACCTCACTCAGGGCCATTCTTTAGCTCTAGAGACATACTAATCATTCAGAGGGGTATGACATCAGAGCATGGATCATATTTGATCCCTCCCCCCCCTCCACCCCACTCTTCCCTGGGAGAACAAGCCATCATAAAATTCCCTGATGGACTGTGGAGTCATGTCAGCTGAAATTGCCGATTCATCAAGCTGGCTGGCGTATCCGGAGTGATGCTGAGATCATGCTGTAGACAGGGCTATGAATCCATCAGCCATTATGGGCTGCTGAATTATAACTCATCTCCAAACGCTTTAAATAGACCAATGGAGTGTTGATTGCAAACCGGCAGAAAAGTTAGCTGTGCATACCTTTGCTCTTATTTCAATTGCATTCTGCGATGTGAAAGTTCCTCTTGAGGTTGTGCCTACACACAACACGAGAAGTGATATTCACCCTCGGTCAAAGACCGTCCTAACCCTCCCTGGGTTAAAAGTAACTTGATTTGTTTACTTGATTTGTTACCCAGAAATGGTTCTAATTTTTGCTCCTTTATTGTTTAGTATCTCTATTTATTTTTGTTATGTTTAGCTGTGCATATTTTTCACATCAGCTTGTAACTATAAACCTCACAACTGCACACGGGGAGAATGAAGAAGTGGACTTCTGACCTGTCCAGCTTCTGGCAGTCCACCTTCAGTGATCCGAGTGATTCGATTCTGACTGGAGGAGAGGCACGTCCCTCACTGCCCACCTGCAAATAGAACCTGGCTGACTAATCCCAAAATACCCCCATGGACACATACAGTATAGAGGAAACCATAGTCAGGTTGTGACATGACCCAGGCTTGAATCTGTGATAATAGAGGTCATCCTGCAGTCAGTTGAGCACCTTTACTGGTTGAGTCTATCGGGAGGCCCTTGAAAACCCTCAGGGGTTTATCCACTAAAGTCACAATTGCACAAAGATCTCAGATGCACTTAAAGGCAGAAGCTCATGGAACCATCAATAACCAGAAGTGAACTGTGCCACCCAAGACAGAGTCACACCAGGAGCTGATTACATTGCAACTGTTCTGTTCACATTTCTCATGCTGTTGACACACGTGTGCAGAACATCCTGGCGATTTGTCAGCCATGTTATTTTATCCCTGCCTCCAACACCGGATCATTTATTCTGGCAATAGATTAGATTTCCATCTACGTTCAACCTGCATGATTCCTCTCGGTGTTAGTGCAGAGATCCGGACTTTATTGATCTGAGGTCAGATCAGTTTAGCTGCTCCAAGAGTCATTTGCATTTCGTTTTCAAAGGCTTTGCTCACAGCCCTTGCTTCCTTGGGAAACGTGGTTAAGAGTTATTTGAAAGAGTTCAAATCCCACCATCTCTGGTCTCTCCTACAGGCGCACGGGGCTTCTGGTCATGGGCCAGGAGGAGGGGCCTGATTTTCAGATGTATAAAAAGACACTGCTGCAGAATGGGGTGCCCACTGAGATCCTGGACCCGGTCCAGTTTGCCCAGCGCTTCCCCAGTGTGAAGAGAATCAGTGGTGACGGGGCTCTCATTGACAAGACCGCTGGTGTGCTGTTTGCTGACCGGGCGCTCAGGGCTGTGCAGGTACTGCGCACACTAGCATTGTTCTCAGCTGTTCCTAAAGGCAAGAATGTGGTGCACTTAGCAATTGTCAGGAGTTAGCTCTAAGAATCTTTTACCATGGTAAAAAACTGCAAGGTGATGCCACTCACACTCATCAAGGTTTTGTTTTTCTTAACACTCACTGTGAATTCCTATAAATATTTCTCTAAATATTACTGTAAATATTTTTTTCCATCAAAAATCATCATTTACATTTACAGTGGTAAACCATGGCAGTAGATTAGAGCAAAAGGCAAAGGAAACATGTACATGAACAATTATGCATAATTCCCAAAATAAAATGTGCATTGGTTTGCAGTCAGAATTGAGACGACTGAAAAAAAAAACATGTATACATGATATGAGATAAAAATATGAGGCTTCTGTACATTTTATGATCACAGCATCGAGTTTTGCAGATGAAAGCTGTGTTTTCCCATTAGAGTTCCGGTAATCCCCCCTCTGTTCCTGTGATCTGAGTGCTGTTTATTCCAGGTTAATTCCTGGAAAACACAAGAAAAGTATTTGATGGAATCCAAGGGGACATCCCTATTACTGCAAAGCCCTGTAGACTACAGACTGAAAACTACACAGTATGGAGATTAGATCAACTCCCACATGAAGCAGAAAAAGAAAAATGTCTTGATGTAAAATCTTTTTTTGTAGTCCGATTTAATGTGCTCCCTCTCTCGGACACTGTTTTGAAACATGTAGGAAAGATAGCAGGTTACTGACAAGTTATGACCAACACTCTATTGCAGCCTATAACAAAATTACTGATGAAGTGTCAACTCTCCCTCCCACACCAGTGTGCCAAGAGTGATGTGCCCATCATCTCCCACTCTGCAGCTATCCCACACTGAGCAATGAGACAGGTCAGAGTCAGTCCTGGAATTCACAAACCCACACACAGACACAAAACAGCACAGGACTGGTTACATTTGAGTGTAACTGTTAATTGTTCCACAGAGCTGGCTTTGCACACATTTATTACTGCATTCAGGATTGCTTAGCAAACCAGAACATTGCCCCTTTCTTCAGAAATCAAGCCATCCCCCCCCCAGCTAGTTTATTCCATGTTTCACTTACAGATCTGCTGAAGAGGAGCATGTTCTCAGGTTTACAGCAGGTGCAGGTTTCTGCGGGCACAGACAATGCAACTGTAATGCACAGCCATCATCCCTCGACAGTAGTATTTCTATTAGTATTATGTTAAAAAAGAAATCAATGCTCATTCACAAAATATGGATTAAGCTACTTGAGCACTATGGAAACAAATGCCCCTCATTTGGCACTATTTCTACAGCCCATTGATTTATTTTCATCTAGTCTTAATACATTCTGATCCATTTTAAACATCAACGTAGCAACAGATTGAGAGAGATGTCAGATTCCTGTTAGGAGAAAGCATGATAGGGTCATTATCATTGATGTGATGTACTGTACCTGGGAGGTGCTTTGCAAAAGAAATAATAATGTAGCCCTCCTTACTCTAAAACAATGTATCTGCAATTAAAAATTAAGTACTGATGGACACAGTATAAAATAAAGATACAGCTTTCTTAAAGAGATGCAATTAATCCTAAAATGCAGTTTGTAACACAAGGCTGACATCTCTTTTCATTTAAGAAGCATACAGAACAATCGTGTTCCCCAACTCTACTGTTTTTTGTTTTTACCCTAGAAATCCCCTTCTCCACATTGCAGAGGACCCTAAGATAACATGAAAAGTGAACATTTTTTACACCACAAAATTAAGATCTGTTCTCAATAATTCAACAACTTGAAAAAAGGGAAAATGAGGCACACTCTAGCAGAGAAGACAGAGTCTATACGCCATGAGAGATGAGTCAAGTGTAAATGTATTCCAGGAAAAAAGGATTTTTCTGGTGAAGAATATACTGTAAATGTATCCAATAACCTCTCTAGTTATGATGGTTAATACAAGACTTTAAAGTTTTTAATACAAAATCTAGTGATGAAGATTTCATTTGACATAGCAGTGTCTCAATACCGAATCAAAAAAGGAATCCGGCTTTGAAATGTAATTTAATGTGAAAGAACTGACTCTGAAGTGCTTCTTTCAAAGGCTAAGCGAGAATCCAGCCTGCAAGTTTAAACTCACCAGTACCGGATATTGCACAGAAGTAATCCTCATCAAAAACCTTTCCCAAAAGTTTTTGGAAGGATAAAAAGACTGAATTGAATTCAATTGCAAAATCTGAACTAAACACAGAGAATTGCATGAATAAATAATTAATAAACGGGGCAGCAGTCACCAGGACCAAGATAGGTAAACCCTTCATTAGGCAGTAAAAACACTTTCGTGGCACAAGATTTCTCTGTAAGCTTATAAAATAAATTTAAATAAAAAAGGCTAACCATTACAAAGTAACTGAAAACTAATTAAGACAGTGAAAGAAACTAATCTCGAGTAGGCAACAGCTATTCTGCCTCCAGTGTTTAGATGCAACAGATTATCCCTTTCTCCTCTCTTCAGTCTCCAGATCTGCACTACATGCATTAACCAAAATCACTTACTAGAGACAAGTGCTCTCTGGCCATGGCAATGAACATGCCTTTAACCCTTCACAAGGAGTCCTCTTTGTGAGTCAAGGCTCAGCTGTCCTGTTGATTGAAGCACAGGGACAACACACAGATCCCGCTCATGAAGTAACAGTTCTTTCTTCCAAAACGAACATTATATAGTCCAAAAAAAAGAAAAAAGAAACAAAAACAAAACAGACGGAAGGTCTTGGATATTGTGATGTATTACTGCACCCATGGACATGTGGCTCTTTAAACATCATTATTACATCCACGCAGAGCACTCTCCTCACAGCAGCAGTAATAGAATTCCCCTGCGATGTGTTGCTTTTGTACACTGTGATTCTGTTAGGCTTGTGGCTGTGTTGTGCACAGGCAGACCATTATGCCTGTTAGCTGAACCCTGGCCTATCTGGACCCTTGCAGTGAGTGGAGCAGGCAAGGACAGGCGTAGACAAATGCGTTGCTCATCCTTCTCCTTTCTCTTCTGCTAACTGCCTTGATCTGGTACGCGCCTCACTCCCCAAGGCGGTGTTCCAGCGTCTAGGAGGAGTGATTCGGGATGGGGAGAAAGTTCTCGACATCCGGCCTGGGTCTCTGGTCACCGTGACAACAGGCCGCGGGACATACAGTGCGAAGAGCTTGGTGATCACTGCGGGCCCGTGGACCAACACCATGCTGAGCCTCACTGGGCTGCAGCTCCCCCTACAGGTACAGTACCTGCTTGAAGACCAAAAACAGCTGCACACCTCCACACCTGGATCTGTTCTTACAGTTCCAAGAAAACGTTAGTGAGCTAGTCCGAATTCCTGTATATTTTATGCCTAAAATTCAAGTAGATGAAGATTAAACATATAACGCAAAAACATAAGATATATCTCCTCCCCACTGGTATCTGGTATTTGGTGAGTGAACTGGTGCACTATGGGTTCCGTCATACCCAGGTGGGGCTGCACACTGGTGGTGATGGAGGGGAGTCCCCATTACCTGTAAAGCGCTTTGAGTGAAGTGTCCAGAATATAAGTGTAAGCAATTATAATAATTATAATTATATCTGGATTATTATAAATGATGCAACACTAAATATCCTAATGCAAATAAGTATCCAAAGCTTTTGAGTTAGTAACCGGTGGCACCTCTTTCAGTAGCAATGGCTAAATAAATTTCTTACTTTAAATTTAGCATGGCAGAATGACACTTTAATAGCCTGACCTTCATACTTTGGTAGCTCCATAAAGAAGGACAGTGTACTTCACTGTAGAGAGTAATGACTTAAAGGACCCTTGAGTTCCACTGGAAAGTTCCCTGTAGATCTGAGTTGGCGTGACTTTGGGCTTCTTTAGAAGTGTCTGTGAGGAGACTTTCATTGCATACAGTATATACACTTTGCCCTTAAAAGAACTGGAGCTCATCAGTCTGTCTCGAATATCTGGGAATGTCTTATCAGCACCCAGTGATAAATCAATGGAACTTAATTAAAACAATCTATTTTCGTTGTGCCTGTGCTGCTTGCCTCCATCTGGACTGTTTTAAAATTGTGTTCTGGTTCCTGCTCGACTTAATCGCGAACGCAAGCACTCCCTTTGCAGAATGAGTATCACATCTGAAGAGTCTCGATGTGAAATACATAAAATGAAAAAAGAAAGAAATAGAAATTCTAAAAATAGCTCAGTCCCCTGGCCATAGGCGATGAATTATGACTAGCCAAGTAGCTGATAGAGTCAGCAGACCTTGAAGGAATGCGTGAGGCTCTGGAGGAAACACAATGCTTTTTACACTTAGAATAAACAGCACCCTCCCTCCTGCACAGCATGGTGAAAAAACAAACAGTAAAGCTCTTCATTATCAGCTCCTTAGGAGGAATGGGGATTTAAATGTGATTTCACGTACTGTAGTTGGGAGCATGCAAGCCTTGTAGCTTTAGAGAGCAAAAAAAAAATCCTGAATCTTCAAACACTCCTAAACGGAAACATTTTCCGATGTTTCGTGGCCGGCCTTTTCCAAAGACAGCAGGTATCTGAGGAAGGAAAGGGAACAAGAAAGCTAATGTGAGAAATTCTATGGAAGCCAGTCACTTTTCTATCTCCTCGGGTCGCCTACATTACTAGGAACACATCAGTTCATTAAACGCGCAGCTACAGAGTGCAGAGCTATAGCTATCAGAAAATTTGATTTTTAGAATTATTGAGCACATTTCATTAAATCCTGATTGTCATGCAGCTACATCGCTACACACGGAATTGCAGTGGGATTGGAGGTAATTAAAGTGATGCAAGGTAAACAGCGCTGCTTAATCAGGCTGGAAATGTTTTATTTATCTGTTTGCCTTTCAATCCGAGCGCCCGACTTGATTCTTAAATCGGACAGGTGAGGAGAATCAACGTGTGCTACTGGAGAGAAAAGGTGCCGGGCACCTATGGGATCAGCAGCCAGTTTCCGTGCTTCATTGGGGTGAAGTCGCATGGAGCCAAACATGATATTTACGGTCTTCCATCCAATGAGTATCCAGGTCTGATGAAGGTGAGTGACCAAAGACACCTCTCTCTTGGCAGACAAAGAGGCACATACACGTGTACACTAAAAGCAGAAAGCATGTATCCTGCATCACCAATGTACACCATATTCTCCCCTTTTAAAAATATCTTTGTTGGTACTGTATGACTATTTATCCCTATCACTTACATATGAAGTCAGCTCTACTGCACTTAACCATCAACTCTCCCTTTTAAGTCTTACACTAACATCCCATCTTATCTCGTCTTTTCTGGTTACTGTACAGTACTGTATGATCTCCTATGTTTTATCCTACATGGCTCTCTGTCTACTAAGTTTGTTGAACGTTTTAAACAACGAAGACACCTCTCTGAGTCTCCCTGACATGCAGCACTGAGTTGCCCAGTACACTGAAATCCCAGTAGGAGTCCCACTGCTGAGAATATGCCGGGACAGCATCTGCAGGATATTTCTTAAAGAACACCAATATCAACCGCAGATGTGAACTGGAGATGGAGAGGTTCTGATTTTACAGTAAATCACTTTCCTTGGATATTGTCAAATGTGAAATAGTTTCAGCATTGTACATCAAGTATGTATATAAAGGTCTTACTATTTCAAGGAAATTAACTTAAATACAGGGCGCAGATATCAAATCTGGGTGAGAAACGTCTTCTGTTTGTCTTTCTAGAAAAACCAGTGCATACCTTGCAGGGATGAGGCGGGATTTTCTAGATGAAGATCCTCTTTAAAAAGTCATTAGATGCACTTTTTAGAAATTACACACGGTCTATTAAATGGAAATACTCTTCCTCATAACACCGACCGCAAGCAATTTTCTTCCCTTCTGAATTGCAATGTCCTTAATACTTAATCATCAGAATTTTCAAATTTAACATACAATGGCTCTGAAATGGCACACAGCATGGTTTCGCTGTTTAGAGAGCTCTTTAAGACCAGGCACTTTATTTATTCTGTAAACTGATAGCTTCAGAATATTGAGGAGAGAGACATGCATCAGTGACTTTTACAAGATATTTCATTTAATTCAGAGATGAAATGAAATTCTAGCGCTGTCACTTAGGAAACTCACAGCATAAAACTGTTCTGAGGTCTGTGATAGAGATCCATTTGGTCTAATATGCTTTGACGGTCCTGTTTGTTTTTCTGCTGCTCTGACGCTCAGTTTAAACGTGCTATGCCCAGCAACAATTTAGAAGTAATTTGTGCACTGCTTGTGTGTACAGGAGCAGCAGACAGCATAATTGTACCAGGCCACTCATCCTGTATATATGTCCTTCGCTAAACCCACACAGTGCTGCAGCACAAGTTATGTGAGGACAGTAGGGATCTTCAGCCTGATTCAACTCAGACTGAATGTGAATATCTAGCTAAATAGTCCCAATTAAGGAACAAATATTACATGAAAAGTATTTTAGAGTTCATTGATGTGTGCAAAAACTTTCTTTAATGGTTCTTTAATGAAAGATTAATGCCAGTGATGGAAGACACTTCTAGAAATCTTTATGTATTGGGGCTCCAGAATTGGAGGCTGTCAGATCACACCAAAACCTGGTGTATTCCTGATCTTGCTGGTGTCGTTTCAGATTTGCTATCACAGCGGCAGCAAGACCGACGCCGACCAGAGGGACATACAGACATCCCGGGAGGACATTGACATCCTGTCCCGATACGTGTCCCGCTGTTTCCCAGGCCTGGTGTCCACGCCTGCCATCGTGGAGAGCTGTTTGTATACGGTGAGCAGGGCTTGGAGAGCAGTTCCGGAAATTAGAGTAATACATCTGTATTCCAAATACAGATGGTCTCGTCTCTCACTGGTCCTGCCACGTTTGTTTGGTTCGAACCATGGGCCTGAGCAAATCTTTCAGGAGGCCTTGCTGTACGACAGTGGCCGGTGAAGTACAGGCCTGGGAGGGCTCTGGCAGTTTGGGGTTGGCTCTGATAACACCAGAGTCTCCGGTTCGAACCCTGACCAGGTTGGCCTTTGTCAACGCAAACCCTGGCTTTCACTGTGCGATCTGTGCATCTCAGCCTTGCTGGTTTTGGAGTAGTGAGAAATGCGGAGATAGAAAGACAGAACATATGATTCTGAGGATGTTTGCTTCCTGCTTAAGTAGAATAATTTTCATCGTTTTTTATATGCCGGGAAAGGAGGGCTCAGCACACCCCATTTGCTAAACGCTATGAGTTCTTACACTCTGAATCCAGCAGACTTCTTCCAAGCACAGCTTCACTGCCAACTAACACATGCAGATCCCCGAGACGTTCCCTCACAGACTCCTCTCACTTCCGACAGGCGGGGGCAGATCATTTAGCGCCCTCATTTTCATATCGGCTTCTGCCTCCCCTAGCCAAAACCGACTCTGGAACAAAAACCGACTCTGGAACAAGAAAAGTTGCAGCGTAGCGCAGAAATGGCGACCAGCCTTCAAAAGCAATGAACAGAGGCGCAGCAAAGAAGCGATCGTGGCAGGCTGATTTTGGTGGGTTGTTAAGTTGTCACTGTGGGTTACAGCTCGGCAGGGGCTGCTGCTGCAGTGAGCAGGGTCTGTGGGAGGAGGGAGTGTTCACATGCGCAGGAGCCAAGGTCACTCTGCTCTGCTTCCAGAAGACTTCTGCACGCTGGCAGCTCATGATTCCAAGTGCCGTGAGACTGTGAGAAACAAAAATTTAAAAGTGCAAAGAAATCATACTTCCAAGGGGGTATGGCACACTACATAACTCTGCAAGGATAAATCATACTGTAGATAGTCAACAACAGAGTTTTGCTGTTTATCACTCGCTGTTCGTCCATCTTTGGGTGGGGCCCATTTGTAAGCAATTTAATTGACATTTCAGCCATTTTATTTCAAAGCTAACGGATCTGGACAGAGCTTTACAACACAGAGACATAATATTGACGAAAGGAGTGAAGAAAAACGTATCTGAATGTCTGAAGTGGAGCAGAAATGTGAAAGACTGTCTGCAGCACCACACATTCTTTTTCATTTTATTTTTTCTCTTCTCTCTGCTTCTTGTTTCGTGCAGGTCACTCCCGACTCTCATTTTGTCCTGGATCGCCATCCCTCACATTGCAACATCGTCATTGGCGCGGGCTTCTCAGGTCAGTGCCAGGATAATAATAATAAGGCCCCCCCTCCCCATCCCTGACTCACCCACAGCACAACAGCACATCATCGCTGCTCATCACAGCCTGATTTGATGGTGCGATTGCTGGGGGGAAAAAAAAAGTTAAATGTCAACAAACTGGAATTGAGTGCATATCTAGAAAATAAAAGCAAGATTTTTTCAGTCAGGCATTAGAGAAAAACAAGAACCTCTTTACATATTTGTAACTGGGAGATGAAACAAAGCCAACAATGAATATAGGAGAATAACTCTCTTGGTCCCACTTATCCTACCTAATGTCTTTAATTGAGCCTGAGATGATCCACACCAATGGTGCACAACTCCTTTCCTCCACAGCCAAAGGATTTTGTTCCATCTGTTCTGGTACTCAGTTGAACTGATTATTTCTCTAATTGGACTCATTTGTGGCACGTAGTATCACGGATTACTATTTAAAGCATGAAAACACAACAAATTTATAGAGATACTTACTGTATGATTTGGATGCAGTTCCATCTAGTATTCTTAAAGGTACACAATTCCTCGATCACAGAATAGCCCAGCCTGAAATGTAAGAATTCATGCTAAAACAGTGTTTTTGGAAACATGTAAGCAAAGTTTGTGTCTCTGTGGCACATCCTGTACATCCATCTGACCCCTGCGCTAATATTTCAAAGACTAAGGATTTATTGCAGTTATTCAGTAACATGGTGTTATAACACTGTTTTGATTTTTCACCATTAACTTTCTTTATCATCATTGTTTATAGCGGTGGTAGGGTTTAACAGTATCAGGGCAAAGACTACAGTTTAGATGATTCATGTTTTGCTCACTTCCTGAAAAAGCAAGCCCCATTTTTCCTGTAGAGAAAAACTCACATTGTTGCTCGATTTTAAAAGGGTAATCCACACAACCAAAAAGCCACAATTTGCCCTTGTTTCTGGCATGTATTGTAATCAAAGCTGGGCACAATTGTCTCAGTTTTCGAAACGAGTTCTAGCTGTTGCCATAGTTACACAGCCACCAGTGGGCAGGCCCGTATTTAAGGGCTCTTGGCTCTCTCGGTTAATGTATTCGTGTTCTTTTTTCTTAACTTTAACAAGCCTGGGCAATATTCAGGACTTGACTTCTTTCTGAACCCATCCGAGAAGCTCCATAATGTGGTGTGCCCCACGAGTAACCTTCAGGTTATGTGCTGTACATTAACGTAACACAAAAATGAAATGAGATCGATTCCCTGCCACTTGCAAACAGGAAAGTGCCTGCACACAGCTATTTGAATGTGTAGATAATTGGGGACCTCTCTGACTTTCACTGTCTGAATATGACAGTCATTCACAGGACCAGCTCCTATTAGGTTCCTGTTTGACCCACACTCCCTATGAAAAATTAACAATAGAGCCACATTTAGCGGAAAAGATTTTGCAGAGACACAGAAAACAACCATCAAAAGTTTTCCTGGACTGTCGGGGATAGACACTGCACGTTAAGGGTGGAAAGGCCAAAACTTTTGAAGAAAGCAGTGTGATCTTTTAGCTGCAGTGTTTGTACTTGTACAGTTTGTGAGAAAACAGGAACTCCTTGCTCTGAGGTACAGTATGTTGATGTTTAAACTGAGATACCCAGGGCTGTAATGGTAAATATTTCATACAAAGGAAACGTGACGGGGGAATATGATTTCTTCTAAAACACATTTTATATTTACAGCCATAAGAAGTCTAGCTATTTTGTTCACTGACTTACTGTACTGTAAATGACACTGGCTGGTGTGACTATTGTAGGTCAAGTGGCATACTGACAAGAGTGCTGTCGTAACGCCACACATCGATTCAGAGAGAGTCGGCTCGCTAACGTGATCAATATCAGCACGCAGTCAGCTGACACCTGAACACAGAAACCCAGGCCTACTTTTGAAAAATAGGCTACATGATAATGCCAGACCACATGCTGCAGGCTTTACCAGTGAGAATTTACAGTGTAAAGGGTGGGAGATGTGAACCGCATCACCTTAAATAAGCCCCTTTCCAGCTGTCCAGCGTATAAACTCGCAAGGAACAAATAGCAGGCTCATGAGTCTGGACTTTTTTGGGGGGGATTTGCATTATTCAATGGCTTACTGTCAGGCTGGGACACATGTCGAAAAAATTTTGGAGAATATGAAAAAGCCATGCATCCCACAAGCTTATTACTTTTTACATCTGAAGCTGTGTATTACAGAAAATTCTTTTTTATGGCAGCTTTTGCTTTAGCTATTGAAACAGAATCACACTTGACAGTATGTGGAAACAGCAGTGGAACAAAAGGAAAAAATGTTTGAAATGATCACTCTACCTTGAGATGGACAAAGGGGCTTTTGTGGTAAAAAAAAGACAGATTTTGCATTTCTGATCCAGAGCTTCTCTCTCCATCTGCTGGAGAAAAAGAACAACCTCTTCCTGCGGTGTTTCCGCTGCTCTGAAACAGCTGGTTTTGCTTTCTCCCAGGTCACGGATTCAAGTTCGGTCCAGTTGTTGGAAAAACCCTCTGTGAACTCAGCCTGAATAAGACGCCCTCCCATGACCTTTCACCTTTCCAGATCCAGCGCTTCCAGCCCCAAGTCAAATCGTCCTTATAAGTTACAAACCTCTGCTCCACCTCTGCAGGAAGAGGTCTGATGAAACAATGGACTGGGAAACTATGGATTTATAATAAATTTAAGCTTTTAAAAAATGCAGAAAAAAAACCCATTCCAGAAACCAGCTGGGCCTCTAACCAGGAGATGCCTGGATGGAACCCTGATTGGGCAGTTACAATCCTGGTACTAGTATGACATACAGTATCACATTATCCAGTGAAAAGCATGGTGAAACCTGAAGTGATAGCGAAAACACAGTTAAGTGCAGAAATACACTGTGAAAGCAAGGTACTGTAGATGTTCAGCAAAGGCAAAGCAGAAAAAAATACAATGGTTCAGAATTGTCGTGGTATTCCTTTCCAACTGTCCCCATCCATAGTACAGAAAAGTCCGAACACCGAATGACCCTGTGGAAGGTCACAAGGAGCTGTCCTGCCCTACACTCAGCAAACGGGCTGAGCCATACTCATTTCACAGGATAACTGTGGGAAGAAGAAACTGGAAGGCACACTGGAGTGTCTATGAGGACAGAAGAGTTCCCCAAGGCCACTGCAGGCTGCAGCAGACCACCGTGAGGAAAGGCACGTGCACGTTGCAAACAGAAGTAACGAAAACCCCAAGATAAGGAGTTGTTCTGAATTTCTGTTCAATTCATGCGAAGTCCCTTTTGAAAGGAGCAGGCGTTATCATAACTCGAGGGCTAGTGCCTCTGCTGGACTCCCACACGTGGTCCGACATGCAGGAAGAACCACAAAGCCTTTATATTATCAGTCGAATTATCAATGCATCTCATTCCCACTAAAAAAAGTAGAAATTACGCTCTAGTTTGTTATTTCGTGTGTTCCCCACAGTCACACACACACACACACACACACATTCGTCTTACCTCTCTCTGTTGAGAAGCTCTTTCACCGAGTAAGCAGGTTGTTAAAAAGTCATCAGCTCTGGAGCCATTCATCTTTGAAAGCCGACTGCAAGCACAGTTGTTTGTTGGTACCTTTTCCCATTGTAAACATTTTAATCACTAATCATCCAGGCTGTTAGGACGAAGCACGACCGCAGACATCAGCTCAAATGGGAAAATTATACAGCCTTCCTCCAGGAGCTCGCTGGGGCTATTCATTTTCCAGCTGTAAGTGAATTTGTATTGATAGAACAAGAAAATGGCAGAATTAAAAGGCCATTAAACATGCAAAGCAAAATTCATCTTCTGAAAAAGCCGAAGTCCCAATGAAAGGCACTGGCCTGCAGATCTGCTGTCCAGGTTTTCACCTGGTGCTTTAATCGGATTTGTCTTTCATTTCCATTGCCGTCCCATGGTATGGAGATACACAAGTTGTGAACAGTTCTTCTCGCAGCATGCCTTGGGATATACTCTACAGCATGTGTGTTAGCATCATCACTAGTAGTAGTATTATATAAGAAGTGGGATGAAACATGGATATCTTTATATTTATTTGGTATCCTGAGGACAAATGGGAAACACTTGAGAGTTAAATACTGCAAAGCCACAGTAAGCCTAGAAACTGATGAGAAACCGCTGATGCTGACTGTGGCATTACAAAACATTTCAAGAGCCCAGGAACTCAGAGAGCTCCTTATTCCCATGAAACTAGATAGTTAGACCACGGGTCTAGTCCAGGAGAGACACATCAGCATGAGAAACCTGCCCAGTCAGTCACTTTAGAAATAAAGGAACTGGTTTTCTGATTGACTTGTTGATGGGTTTTTAATTTCCAGCTTTGTTTTGCCTTAATATTAAAATCCAGAAAACTGAATGTTCATATTAAAGCAAAACCTTAACAGCCTACCTTCACCATTATACTTTGAATAACCATCAGATCTACAATCCCCAATGTTCTTTATATGAATTTAATGCAGAAGTAATGCAAGCAGATGTAATGAGCCTTATCTCTGTTAAACGATTTATGTTTCGCTTTCTCAGTATTATCTAAGCATTAAGGCACAACGTGTGAGCAGCAGCAGATCTGAGCATAGGTGAGATCCGTGCTAAGTTTTAAGGAAACACAATAATCGTCTTGTGAACATGAGACCTAATTAATTTTGGAGTATTAATTTATTTATTTCAGGATACGACGCATGCCTCTGGAATGAGTTTGCCATAGCTGTGTCGGTGGTTCTGTTATTTCGTTGCCAAGCAAAGGAAGAAACAATTAGCACACGCAAGGAAAAAAAAGAGAGGGTTTCTTGCTTGCTGCGCAGGGTGCATTCAATGTAGCTATGGAAACATCTTTTTTTCCCCCCAAACCTGTCTCACTGGGCACTTTGTTAATGAAATACAAAATATATGCATGGTAATCAGTGAGGCTCTATGCATTATTACATAGCAAAGGGTTTGCTGGAAGTGGTAGCAGAGTTACTGTCCAGGACTATTAATAGATACGGCGCTACAGTGGGCTTACTGTCGCTTGTGCGTCGATGGACTGTTCTTGCTCCATTTTGCTTTGTAGATTTTGTTTTATGCTCCAATCTCATTAATAATTAATACATTCCCCACCAATGTGACACGCATTAATAAGGTTTAAAACCCACGGAGATCACATTGCCCATCTAAGATCTGAAGAGAAAATTCATAAATAAGTATTTAAAAACTGTTGTCAGCAGTCCCCCCACCCCCCAAAAAAAATCTGGCTTTCCAATTAGCTTTTCAGCAGGAGGGCTGTCATATTACAACACACTCTAACCTTAGATTATAAGCACATTGTAAATCAGTCAATGATAATATGCCTCACTGAGACCATTTGGAATTCAACCTAGACTGGAGGTTTAATGACTTCTCTTGGGCAAATGTACTACATAAATGTACTACACAATTCATAGCATGATCAACCGTATAACCTAACCATTTTTAAAAGAATGATTGTCAATGCCACTACAGGATGTCCCACACGTGTGTCTGCACTTTTACCATTAAATCAGGTAATACTTTTGTTATCTTTGAAATGTTTGAAGTATTGAGAAAAATGCTGGGAATGATGATAACAGAACGCAGGATACTTGCCGTTGTGCCTGCTTGTTAAATACTGATCCAAGTGCCTCATCAAGCCACTTTCTTATCAACATCTCAATGAATCAGCTTCCATTGGCTTGGTCAGTGTGTCCTGAGTGCTGCCAAAAAGCATCTCCAGGGCAAGCTGGAGGAATGATGAAAATGTACTTGAAATTGCTGAAGCAGAGCTCCAGTCTGGGCCAATCCCTGAATCACTGGGGCTCCATTGCCAGAACCAATGAAAACAAATGGCACTTATCTTACTGCATGAGTCTTGGTGATTTGTAAATCAGACCAGAGCTCCATGAGCTTTCTGTCTGGGTTTGAGTCAATCCAATGCATGGGCGTGCACACACCATTCAAGTCTACACCCTGGGGTTACAAAGTTAATGACTGAAACACCAGAGTTTCAGAATAAGTGTTCTCCAAAAAAGCTGACTTCAAAGAACAGCAGGGTGTGTAATATCACAAAACCTAAACTATACAGACCACTTCTTCAAAAAAACACATAAAACAGCAATTAAACTTAGTCATGTATTTCAAAAAGAAATAAAATACCTTTAAATTGCCAAGTGGGCTCAATGGCCACCTCAGGATTTCCTTCAGCTGTGATAAATGTATCCTTATCACCGGGACAGAAAATAGTGCTGACTGTGCTTCCAGAACACTTTCATCCTACTCCACGCTAAACCAATTCTCTGTAAGAGGCTCCTGCAAAGGCAAAACATGGCTTTTAAATTCCCCTCGCCTGCAAAAGAAAGAAACCGGAAACAACCGATACCAATCACCTTTTGAAATTAGGGGCGGGGTGGGATGGTTTGTATGAAAATGGAAACCGTAGAAAATTTAAAGCCGCGATCAATCACAGACACACCCTGACAAAAAAAAAACCCTGGCATTTCACAGTTCTATTGGTCAAACCCTGGGCTTCAACACGATACCTGGAGAGAGGAGAGGGACAGAGCTGGAGGAGGAAAGCAGGAGTGTGAGAGAAGGAGACAGAGACCGACAGAGAGGCTGAGAGACTCCGAGAAGAGAATGGAAGGTGTCCCGTCCCGGCCAAGAGTGCCGCCGCCAGCTTCAGGTGTCAGCTGTGACAACCATCACGCTAAATCAGGGCCAGAAGGGCCCTCCTAAGGAGGAAATGCAGATTACAGCTAATTCAAATTGCTCCTTTCTAGTTTCCTAATTGCAAAATGTCATGTGGAAAAAATAGATCGACTCCAGATGCTTCAAGGACTTCTTATGTGTCTGATTTCTTAAAAATCCGATCAAATTTACAGTACTTATAGCTATTTCTATGTATGACCTGTAGTACAAATGAGAGACTTAAATTCATTCAGAAATGTGTGATTGGAATGCATATAGCACTGTCTTCTTGACTGATTCCTTCTGAAGTGAAAAGCATTGGTACGTGGGTATGCTTTTTTTTTTCAAAGAAAAACACTGCAGCAGGCACTGTCTGCTCCACACTGTCATTGTCTCTCTAAAGCTGTCAGCCCCATCCAGTCCTACTCTGTCAATATTCTCCTCTTTAATTGCTTTGGCTTCTCCAAACTTATAGCAGACTGCACTTAGCAGTCAGTCATGCAATTTGAGGAAGCATTCATGCATGGAGAGGAGGGAAGGAAAAATAGAATGGCACAATACATCATGGGGAAACGGGAAAAGAAATCCGCCTCTTTATTCTGGAAGAGCTTTGCGGCATCAACTGAGAGAATGTTTGAGCACGGCATGCGCTTGACCCGTCCTTTTGACCTTCCTGCCCTCAATCACACATTGCCAGAGCAGGCTGTACATTAGCTGATAAAAGTGTTCGCTCTGACCTTATCCGTGAGGTCAATCCATACATGCATCTAGGTGATTCCTGTGCAGGGTGATTGCCTTTATTACAGCTTATTCTCTTATGCATGACGCTCGACTCCTTGACCCTCACAGTTTTAGCTGATCAGTCTTTGCAGGACACTGCTTGTTTAACACACACGGCTGAGGGACATGGCATCCTAAGACAGAAGGGAAAAGCTCACTTTTCACTGTACCCAGGACTAAATCTCATACTTTCAGAGACCAGGCCTCTTGTGTCGCTGCTTTATTGTTACGGAATGCCCTTCCATCAGACCATACGAGAGACAGATTCCGAGACTCTCCTCGAATCCAAAATCAAAACTCATCTCTTTACCACGGCACATTCCATCTGTATAAAGATGTATGCTCTTGTTTGTTTGTTTTTCTTTTACTTTTTTTGGACTTCTCTTTTTTATTTATCACTATGTACAGTGATATCTTGAGTTTGGAAAAGCACTTTATCAATAGAATGTCTTCTTCTAGATCTTCTTTTTATTATTATTGCTGGCAGCCTTAGTCATGAGATCCTCCCCTCTCACTGGAAAAGCAGGGATTGGTTGATTGCATGCTCCCAACATCCTGCTTTCTTAACCCAAATAAAGAGACAAGAAGGAATGGTTGGTGTGCAGGATTTGCACGTCAAAAGAAACTTCAGGTGGTCCGCACAGTGCGTGTAGCACCAGCAGCATCTGCAGTCCACTGGCACCAGTCACTTCTCCTCTTACATGTACACAACCTTCCAGCCTAAAGCACAAGGCCAGCCCACCTTCACCTGACACCTCACCTTTCAGATGCAGCCAGCAGGAGCACAAGTCAAGCAGAACGGAGGAAAAAGAAACTGTCATGTGGCAAAAAAAAAAAAAAACCCTGACAGAACAGAAATCATCTGCCATTTGGAAGTATAATGAGCTCAGTGGTGCTCTGCTGGGAATGGCACTCTTGAGTCGGATCCCTCCAGCAGGAACAGCGCTCATCTCTCGCTCTCCAGCTTCCAGCCGGTGGGATCGTTCGTGCCAGAGGGTGGGAAATCAGTTCGGGTCTCGAATCCTGCATTTCCCGCCCCGCCCAGGATGACGCCGACTAGCCCGGTTATCATCAGGTTACTCGACACTTCAAAAACAGGGGGAGGGAGGCCGGGTCTTGAAGCGAGGGGGAGTTGGAGAAAAGTCATGGTTCAGACTTGCTTACCTCGAAGTTCTGGCCTTTTATCAGCATTTCGCCTTTTAAATCTCTGGACATCTGAAGTTCCCAACATCACTGTAGGCATTCAGAGGTGCCCGGACGTCTACGAGTGTCCTCTCTTAATGAAATCCATGATTGCTTCCCCTTCAGCAGGTGCAGGGGAGTCTGCACTGCGGCGAGGAGAATCAAGATTTCATTTCCTTGTGTCTTTGAGGCTTCACCGGGGAGATGGAGATTGCACTGGGGAAGGGACACTGATCAGGAGAAAACCATGTTATTCCGACAGGCTTGTACTGCACCTTCATGTTTACTCTGCCCTGATGATGCCAGAGAGGTCTGGGCTCGGAGGCTTTCGGCGCAGAGGAAATAAACTGCGAGCCCCTCAGAGCAACCATGCCATACGCTCGCTTTTCACTGCTCGCTCCTGGATTAATTATGCAGTTCCTCACCTCAGCCTCGCGGGAAGCAGCGGAAGACCACAGATCACACATTTTAATAACAACTCGCTGCATAAAACAGCCTGCCAGAGTTAACTGTGGGGAATAACGCCTGGTCTGAGAGACGTGCTTTAATGTGTCCCCAATGAAGAACACATAACAGGAACACATAACAGGAACACCAGAAGGCACCCTACCCAGGAACAGGGTCATCTGAAGCTCAAGCCTGTGTGTAAACACCAAATAATGAGAAAGAGACACAAGCACACAGCCCACACAGGCAAATCATTTTTAAATACAACAGGACCTGTAAATTACGTTAGGCAAGCAATTTTCAGAGCTTTATAGCACAGGATTCATTATTATCTAACAACCTCTAAACACATATTGCTTAATCATATACAGTACGTGCTTCTTTGAAAAACAGTGGCCTCGCATGGGCGACTGACTTGCAATAGTATTCCACACAAGAAAAGCAAAGCAGTTTTGAAAGCCCCCATAGATGTTACCGTGTAATGAGCACACAAACCTTTCGCCCCTGCTGTGTTTAATTTCAAGTCAAGGCTGGAGGTCTTGCAGGCGCAGAAAGGGACAGTATGTGGGGGACAGGTCTGCAGAGGGATGAAGATGCTCTGGAGGAGGATGCTAACTAAAGCTGGCAGATGTAGTTGGAGCAGGAGAGCCTGGAGGTGGGAAGAGGACTGGATTGTGACGAGCCTGCTACTGGGGCAACACCCTGCCCTTCCTGTTTTCCTAACCCTGACACTGCCGCTGGAAAAGGGGATCAGGGACTTCGGACATAAAAGACTGTGCGATCTACAAGGGCCGGCAACAGCTGCTTGTATCCTCAATCAAGATTACATGTTCATTAATTACTCACCAGCTTGTTAAAGTGGATGCGTTTCAAAATGAATGAGCTGGGTGGTGAGATCTGTTTGACGGAAATAAGTAAAATACCCCCTTCTGTCTCAGGAATGTAGATCAAGGATAGTGGTGCATAGCTTTCATGTAAGAGGAAAGCCAGGCTGTCCCATGGCACCTATTGTACCCCCCAGTTCACAATAACCAGCTGTGAGTAAGCTCAGTATGGCATGTAGGACATTGCACACCTCCTCCAAAATGTGGTGCAGGGGCAGCAGCAGAAAAAGCCCCAAATACAGAAGCAATACAGTGGGTCTCACTAGCACAGCTACAGAATCTGCTGCCATTCAGCTCATCATAGGGGCTGTTGTAGGGTGACAACCCTGAACCATCTCAAACTCCCCCAACGCCAGGGATCGATAGGAGCAGTTCACAGTCGTTGTCTGCGGAGACGTCTGAGTGTCGGGACTCCACGTGTACTCCAACCGAGCGACTTTGTCACAATTGCATGTACTCCCTCCTCTGCCTGAAAACACATCTCATTTAGAATTTACTGCACTTCAATGGCCTTAATCTCATCACGCCTGAACACAGCCATTCTGCAGACGTTATCTCGGGTTATAAACACCAGCCATCCTAATGTAGTGGGGGGGGGGGAGGGTGCAAAAAGAGGGAGGCTTAAGTGGGAGGTGGGGTTAACCTCCCTCCTCCAGTATGGTGGCTGAACACCATTTACACAGCAGTTCAGAAACCCCCATGCTGCCAAACTGCACATTGCATCCATCTGTATGGAGAAAATGATAAGGACTCCTGCAGCAATTTCCTCCTGATCTTGTCGAGAGCAATCTAACTACAGAAGGCCCTTCCATTCTCTTTGTTCAACTGATGTTATCTGTGCCCCCAGCTTGCTGAACGACATTGCAGCTCCTGTTTAGGAATCAGAATTGGAGTTTAATCAGACACTTGGCAGTGAAGCAGAACTGCTTACAGTATTAGTGTTAACTTTATTAAAATTATTATTGCTGTTCATTTCCTATCAAATTAAATTATGTTAGTAATACTCCAAACCTAAGCCATGCAAAACTTACAATGGGCTGGGGAGAGTTAACCACAGCCTCTGTTCATGATCCAATACAGAACACCGATCAGCGGCTGAACAGTTATTTAATTATTCTGTTGGAAAAAGAGCCCTTTAATGTGTCAGCTTTTAATGTACAGCCCCCAACCCTTTAACGGATGAACCAGTTTTACTGCAAACAGTGCAAGTGTGAAGGTAGCATACAGAATTAACACTTACCAATGCCATTCCAGTCTCACTGATCCCACAGGACACAGACTTCCAGTGTTGATGAGAATTCACACCAGAGCAGAAACCACACATTTGCTCACAAACTGATGAGGAGGATTTAGTTAAGATGCAGGTGTTCACATCTGGAGCGCAAACTCTGATCATCTTGACCAATTGAAACCCACCTGCATTTCTAAACCTCCTTCAGGCATTTCTCTGTTTGGGCACTTCTTGCATTTTACAGCAAATGTTTGATGCCAAAATGCGGAACAAAAAAGAGCATTGTATTTATAAGAAAGAGAACTTCTATTACTTGGAATAATTCCTTGCCTTTTCATAGAGAGCTTTTCAGCCACTAACGTACTCCAAGCACATACAGGATTTCGTCCACCTCTGAGGGGCAGCGCCACCTGGGGGGCGAACAAGCTCTCTATAAAGACAATGGCGAGAAATGAGAAACCTGCATCACCAGTAGAATTAGCGGAAAACTTCAGGCAGGCCTGACTGTGTGGGTCCAGATTGAGTTTTAGCCTGTATCCCTGGGTTTACAGCACTACTCTTAAGAACTCAGTGTCAGAGGATCTTTTAATGACCGATGTTAAGGCTTCTTTTACAGCGCGGTATCTTTGGTCACAGTACTGGAGAATGGAATTGGGAATTCTAGTCCACAGGGAAGAGCCCCCCCACACTGGTCCACCAACAAAACTTGTAATAGCCAGTTAGTTTTCCTACTGTAGATCTTACCCAGCACTGACCACATCCAACCTTACTTAGAAACTGATGAGATCAGGATACAAGCCACAGAGCATGATGCAACTTTCAGCCAGACCTGTGAGCTTCACACAGAACAGAGAATGCCTCTCCCCAAAGCTGCACAGGAATCACTCAGCTCCTGTACAGCACAAACATCCCTTACCTAACAAAACAAAGTCTTTGACGTTTAAAATACAACCCAAGAGTTTATTTTTTTCATAAATAATCCAAAAACATCTTACAGAAATACAGACAAGACATTTTAACCGTTTTTTTCTCCTCCTTTTTCTTTTTAAAAATGGCAAATAAAATTCACAAGTTCTCCCCTCCATTTTCTGTTCTGGCATTTCATACAACTAGAACACTTGAAGCTAGAGCTACATTTTTTTTTTCATTTGCACAGCAGGAGTTTGTACATCAATGCTTACAATGAGAGTTTAATGAACAGTAAAACGTATGGTACCATTTACAATAATGCTCCAAGTATTTGTAAGATTAAATATCGATCAACACTTACGGTCCATTCCATCATTCCCCCATCTCAATGTTTCCAACATGTCAAGGAAAAACGGTGCGGGAAAGGCAATGATGTATGAATGTAGGCTGAGCTCTTTGCTCAGGTGTTGGGGGTTCAAGAGTGGGAGTTAGGTCACCAGCTGACTCGGGTCAGGATTCCCCAAGCCTTTCCAGCTGCTGGGGGGTGAGGCACGTGCTAATTTGCACAACCCCCCCCCAGCATGGGGCTGCGCTGCTACTGTACGTGTTAATGACCGAGCAGCTTGATAGAGGCCGTGTATGAAGAGTCTCCCCCCTCATGTGCAGGGATCACAGAGATGGCATGTCCTTAACACACATTTGGCTCTTCCAAACTGGGCAGGAATTTAACAGAAACTTCCATATTATGTTACAGGAGAGGGAGCCCAGATATTCCAAGGTCGGCATGTAACTGAAGCCCTAGATTTATTTAAACATTTACCTTACAATGTTGCCTGTGACACATCATTTGACTAGGTGTGTGTGTATGATGCTTTTGCTTAAAACATACCCGTCTACCAGCCTCCATTATTTGTATTTTAAATATCTTAAGAATAGGGATATCAGCCCTGCAGCAAAATATTGGCTACATTTTTTATGTATAATACAATTTCAGAGCTAATTTATTTGGCTGATACTTTTATCCAAAGCGATCAACATTTGGACACATTTACACAGCGGGGTATTTCACTGGAGCAATTCAGGTGAAGTTGCCTCAAGGCAGTGTCTTACCTGGATTTGAACCCACAAACTTCCAGGTACCCAAACCCCTGTACTGCACCCTCAAAGCTCAAAACTCAAATCTAAATTTTCTATCATAGACATCCCCTTTATAGCTATGTTGTTGCAGTTAGTTTTGTTTTCCAGTACCTACTGTAATTAATAAAGAGGCTATTTAGCATTTGTAAACGTATACATTTACAACATAACAGAGACTCTCCTAAACAAATCTGCATTACAGATCAGCTGGCACATGAGGGGTTAAAATTGAAGGAACTGTTGCAGGTTGCTCATTATTAAGGCTGTGACATCCATAATTATTATGTCGTGCAGCACAATCCACAATGAGCTTGGTTGCTTTTAAATTACAATGTCCCCTTTGAAATAAACCTTATTGTGGAAAAATGCTGCTTGCTGAATTTTCCTAAACTATCATTTGTCTACAATTTGAGTTCTTAGTACAGATAGTTTAAATGCAACATTTCAAAATGAGGCCATCACTGAACCACGCATAGAAAACTAGATAATAACCACAGTTTTACTGCCGAATCCACTCCCACTGCAAGCAAGCGGAGGATAAATTTATGTTTCTGCCCTTTGGAAAGGCCGAAATGTGTGAACAGGAGAATAATGCACTGGAAACACTCAGAGACACCAGAAAGGTAACAGGTTAAAAGCAGCGAGCAGGACTTCAAAGAAAACAGAAAATGATCTCCTGTCCTTTTCAATTACAGGATCCTGAAATATTCCTTCCAGGAAACCAGTTTCAGATTTTCTGAAGTGCATGTTCAATCGGTCAATGCAGCTCTAGTCTTCAGAGTGTGCCTTACACGATGAAAGAACCCCATTCAAAAACAATTCTAAAACAATCACCATTGTTTATTTACAATATATTAAACCGTACTGCAAAATTACTCTTAACAAGTGGTCATTTGTTCAATACAGAAAATAAACAAACTATTTTGAAAGCTAGAATGAATCATACAGACATTATATATTTATATGTGTACAGCCTGTAATGTTATGCCTGTTGCACGCATGTATTCGTCTTGCCTTGGATTTTGTACTGCGTTAGAAAAAGCATTACCATCAAACACTCCCCTGCTTTTAATAATAATGCAAATATTGAATGCATAGAAAAAAGTAAAGTATTAGACCTTTTAAAGGATAGTGCAGAAAACAGATCTCTAAAAAGCATGTGCACAAAAAAATCTAAACTCCTGTCTTCACAATCAAGTGGTAATGAAATCCTTTCATTCCTGTGCCACAGTTCATGTACAAATATGAATATTGTTTTTGGTGGGGAAGGGAATCACCAAATTTCTTCATGCTCAAATTTATAAAGATCACCAGTGCGAAGCATGCCAGTAACATTTAAAAAACAGACATGTTTTCTCGTAAAATTCCAGAGCATTTCATAGCTTCTTGTGAGGTCTAAGACCAAATCACTGGCCAGTCTTACAAGACAGTACGCTGGAATATGAAAGGATTTCACAGCGAAGGATATACAAGTTGCGCAAGCCTGTATTTCAAATAAGTGTTGCATCTAGTAAGTTGTCTATAATAGGCAATTGTCAAGTATTAAAACTCTACAGAAGATGATGAAAGCCCAATGTTGTCCATAGTGGAACTACCACTACAGTAGATGAGGAGATGAGGAAATTTTAGAAAATAATTTCAACAAAGCACCGTACCCAATACCAAGTACATTCCCTTTGGAAAACTGAAGAATTAGGCAAAAAAAGGACCTACGATCCTGAGCCAAAGACTCTTTACCAAAACCATTACTGCAAGTACCTAGTAAATTCACGTGAAATAAAATCAGGATGAAGGCATCGGTCCCAAATACAAGAAAACAACGTGATCAGTACTTTACTGTTCTCACTCACCTAAAGAAAGCCGTTATTTAGATTAGTGCACAAGAAATTATATTGTATTGTGTATTCATCACTTACTGGATGTTCTGAAATTAATTTTATCAGTTGCAGTGCTCCAAAATAATTCATCCCAAAAATAATTTATCTCAGCAAGTGAGGAAATAAAAAGTGAGATTTGTAGCACAACTGCAGACATCTATAATCAATGGCACTTATCCTCTGTAGTTTTCTTCTTCCACAACCCGAGGACTCAAAGAACAGAGCAGTGCAGTCGTACTTGCAACAAAGGCATTTTGGTATTTATTCGACGGTGTGTCTAAACACCTCAACGCAAACTAAAACAGTTCTTTGGCTCAGTAACATCGGGGATGGAGGAAGCTGGGAAACTGGGCAGATGGCGTGTGTTGGACTGGCTGAAACCCAACACCTTTGAGAGGGTCAGTTTCAGACCTTGGTGAGATGGGCGAGCATAGTGGGCTTGTGTGTGTGGTTGAGTAGGGGGGATTGCTTTGAAGAGACAAACATGGGAAACCCAGGCTAATTATAAAGGAAATATCCTGACCCTTGACCCCAGAGTCTAGGTGGATGCCTCACGGCATGCAAGAAAACAACTGCATCAGTACTTTCCTGTCTTACAATAGTGGTACGTTTCTAATGCACCCAGCGTCTCGGTGTAGCCTCATTACAGACGTTACCCACCCTCCTTGCCGTATGCATTTTCTTGTATTCGTTTTTTTATGGACAGAAAGTGGAAAACAACAGGCTTGAGATCTCTTCCAGCTCGGGAGTGCTCGTGCCGCCTGTGGTTTCTGTGTGTGTCTTAAGGGTGCTCGGACGCGCTGTGGTTGTGTGTGGGGCAAGGCTACGCTGTGGTTTCCGGAAATTTGGTGTCGCCATCACTGTCGTTCAGGTAGTTGCGTCTGGAATATCGGGAGCGGTACGAGCCGAGAGTCGTGCCCTCTTCATCCTCCTCATCGGACATCTGGGATAGGTGTCTCCGATAGGTTGGGGGGCTGGAAACGGAGAAAAATGAAGAGATTTTAACTAATAAACAATAAAAATGAAATGCTTACAGAGTCCCTGCTGCCAAGTTTAATACCTGGGGAGCTTAATCATGGAATCACTTGAAAAGAATACTTCTGCATTTCATATTTAAAAGCAGTGTTAAAGTGATTTTAAAAATTGATGTGCTAATTCTCTGTCAACATCAATAAGGGGATTCAAACAAAGAGTGCCTGAAAGGTTTTCCCTTGAATTATCAATATCATAGAAACATTTTTAGGTTTACAGAGAGATTCTGAAGGATTGCCAACAAGGTTCCATTGTACACAATTCTCAATTGGCAACGTCATGTCCTAGTGTGAGGCAGAACGAAACCTTCAAGGTCAGAATGATTACTAAACAACACTGCAGTTTTTAAATGAATAGCAGATGCCACCTCCTGCTAGGACTTTTTAAAAAGCAAGCAGTCCAGATTAAACGGTGATGCACCATTCTCCTCAGAGCAGTGGTTGGAGCACAAGAGAAACTAGAGATCTGGCGTTGAGGAGCACTGGGACAAGCAGAACGTCTGCATCACTCCTTGCTAGCTAGCATGTTCACTCCTCAAAGTTGATGCTGAAGGTTATAAAAAACATAAAAGCTCTTTTGAAGAGACAGCTTCCTCAGCGGAACATGGTTATTTTCATTTCACTGTCAAAATCGAGAGTTGCTCAGATCATCTCGGCAATAACTCCGGAACAAATAACGTTCTTTTCCCCAAGATGACCTAGACACTACAGTTTTCACCTGAGACGTTTCTAGCCAAATTCATCTTCTCCTCTTTTAAGCTTGCTCAAAGTTCTTTTTGAATGGTGTTGATGCTGTTATTTAAAAGCAACCACACATGAGGCTCTAAGACACAACGAAAAGGAAGCTGCTTTCCAAAAAGGAACCTAGTCTTCCAAATAGTGCAGACCTGAGCCAAAAGAACACAAAAGAACCAAAAAGAGCACAAAAGAGCCAAACGAACACAGAGTGGTCCCAGGTTACTTATAGTACTGGAAACTGTGAACCGAAGGTGTGGTATCTTTGCTGTAAAGCATCTATGTACAGTATATTCTTTATGTTAATTTAAGGTAACGTATACTTCACGGTAGAAGGTTTGAAAAAAAATGTTGGTGGTGTTGGCTCAATTGTTGGCTTTAAAGTTATTTGTTTTTGAGCTATAAAATCACAAAGGCATTCCAGTTCCTGTTAGTAATGACACACGCATGCATCTCGCTCACTGACCTCCGCTTCAGAACACGTCATGGCTTAAAAACCCAGTCTTTTCCACAGTCACTATTATTAAGGCAGGACCTTCAGAATAACTCAAAATGATATGCAGATCTCAATAGGTTTAACCTGTCCTCAACCTGTACATAGCACTTTATTTTGCCATAACAGAATTGATCACCAAATGAATTTTCTTTGTGCAGATTATACTCCAGTACATTATACTACAGTCTCAAAATGCAAACCTGGGTCTCAAATTCATAAAAATAGAAATGATTCCTTCAATGTCCTTATTCATTTTCAGTCACGTTAGTAATTAAAAAGCAGGGAGTTTCTGTGAACATGCAGAACTAGAGTAACCCCCCCCCTTCCAAATGATGTTGTGATGATGTGGTCGGTTGTGTTTCTGCTCCTACTGGAGGCTGCCGGTTAGTCGCACACCATGCCTCACCACGCCTCATTCCACAGGCTGCACCTACTGACTGCGTTAGTCGCTCTCAGGTCTGTAGAGGTATTTCATCATCAGGCTGTCCACCTTCTTCTTCCTCTTCTTCTCCTCTTTCCTGGACGCGGGTCGCTCCTCAGCGGGAGCTGCCTCCTTCTCCTCCTCGGAGCCGGACGCTACCTTGCGGGGCCCCTTCTTGATGCTGCTGGAGCTGCGGTAGGAGATGGTGGATCCTCCCGAGCTGGAGGAGGACTCGGAGGAGGACTCGGAGGAGGACGAAGACGACTCCGAATCCGTTTCCTTCCTCTTGGATTTCTTCTTGGACTTCTTGGATTTCTTCTTGGAGGAGCCCCTCTTCTTGCGCCCGTCTCCGGAGGAGCTGTCCGACTCCGAGCCCTTCCTCTTGCTCTTACCTTTCCGGCTGCTCCGGCTGCTCCGGCTGCTCCGCGTGCTGCAGCTGCTGAGCGGGCGGGAGAAATCCAGGGCCGAGGCCGAACGCCGGACACTGGAAGAGGAGGAAGGGCGGCCGGCGTCTCCGTCCGGCTGCAGGCCCTTCATGCTGCGCACGCTCTTCGCGTCATCCTCGCCCTCCTTCCCCTTCTCCTCATCCTCCTCGGAGTCCGTCTCCAGGCTCTTCCGCTTGAATTTGATGGGTTTGTAGCTCAGGACCTCGTTGATGGCGGCCTCCAGGTCCGGATCCAAGTAGTTCCGATGCCCGACGGGTTTGACATCCGTCGCGTCGGGCTGGGTCTCATCCGACACCGACGACTTCGGCTGGGGAGGCACGGAGAAGCTGCGGCCCAGGGAGTGGGGGCTGTAGACTGAGGACCTGCCCTCGCTGAAGGCGATGCTAAGGGCGTCGTCATCGAACTCGCTCAGCCGGCTCCGGGAGAGGGAGAGCCGGGAATCGGCCCGGCTGGCAGCGCCGGGGCTGCGGGCACCCGAGCGGCGGCCGAGGGCGGGGCTGGTGGCCGTGCCCGACGTCTCGCCGCGGCCGCCGTCCAGGCGGGAAAGGCTACGCCGCAGGCTGAGGGGGCTGGACGGGCCGAAGCTGAGGGCGGATCTGGAGTCGTCGTCCGCCTCTAGGCCGCGCCGGGCGGAGGCTCGGCTGGCGGGGCCGGAGACGGCGGACTCCCTGTCGAAGTCGGGGCTCACGATGGACCACCGCCTGTCCAGCCCTTTTCGAGCGCGGCTGGTGGCTTCGGAGTAGGCCTGTGATATGACTGAGCCCCTGTCGTCCAAGTCGTCCCCGGCCTGGGATTTCTTCCAGGAGCTCACGGAGTACGTGTCGTCCTGGTTGTCCACAGAGGAGTTGCGCTTGGATTTGCGGAACGAGCGCTCCTGTGAATCCGAGTGCTCCTTTAGGCTGCTGAAGAGGGAGCTCTCATCCCCTGTACCCCCTATTGAATCTTTGAGGTTGGAGCGTTTCCTATAGCTAAGAGAGCTCATTACGGACACGGGCCTGCTCTGCTCTACCTCTTTGCCTTCTTTGATACTTTCTTTTCCTTCCTTTCCTTCTTTGGCGTCTATGTTTACAGCGAATCTGAAGGAACAGCCGCAGCAAGGCAGGGTAGGACAGAGGGGGGCGAAGGGCAGAAAGGAGCAGCAGGAAAGAAAACAGAAAAGAGAGAAGAGATGGATGAATTGCCAACTTGAAAAGAAAGAGGAATGACATCTGAATATTTGAATAAGATGACAGGAGATGGGGAAGTAATGGTGAAAATAAGGCAGTGCCCAAAGAAGAGGGAATGAACAGGCTTAAGATGCTCAGCTGCATACAAACCCGAATTGCCGCGTTATGCAAATGTGAAATATATATACAGTATATAAATCACGCTGGATTTCAGATCAACCTGTTACAGTATGTATTTGTCAAAACAAATACAGGACGGATGTAAAACCTCATTTTAATCTCCTCCACCATTTAACAAAATCAAATTCAAACAAGTCAGCATAATAAGTTCTGGATGACTGAGCATGAGGTAGACGGGGGGAAATCAATCAATTTTAATAAACTAGCACCAGACCGATGCAGTCCTGAAACCTGAAGCTTGTGATTTCGAGCTGTTTGGTACTGCCTGGTGGGGGAGGGTAATGCACAGGAGTGACAAATTCAGGTCCTGGGCTGCCTGATGTCTCTTGGGTTTTGTTCCACCTTAGCTCTTAGCTGGACTAGTTGTTTAACAGCATAATTCTTCATATGGAACAAGTAATAGGTATATTCCACGCTGAAAAGAGAAGAAAGAAAACACAACGTTTCGGCCGAAGTACACCCGAAGAAGGCTCCACAGCCGAAACATGGTTTTCTTTCTTCTCTTTTCAGCATGGAATAAACCTATTACTTGATCCTTGGCAGCCTATGCATGCTGACGCACCTACTCACCTGAACTAATTCTGATTATACTGTATCTACCCAGGTTTTAAGGTGTTTTATAGGTAACTGTATTTTAAGTAAGGTGCATTTTTTCAATAAACCTTAAGTAAAATCCTTCAGCAAAATAAAATCCTACATAAGCCAAAAGAGCTCAGTGACTACTTAGGTTGGAGATGAGGATGTGCAAGGCTGTAGTTCCCACTAGAATTATTACGCCTTAACAGATGAAACGTTTGAGCTTAAGTTCTGAGGAATGTGCACGGGAGTGTAAAGTCTTTTGAAGAAGAAGACAAACGTAGGACAATCACAGTTGTCCGCAATCAGGCGGACCCATTCATTTCCCGGGAAAGGGAAATCAGGTAGGCATGCCAGCTGGCTACAGGGCACGTCCATAAATCTGTCAGCAGCAACATCCTCCTACAGCTCCCTGTTCAAGACACCGCGACAGCCGAGAGAATGGGAAGCAGACTGTGACCAGAGCACCCGTCCTTCAGTCTGCCTGAGCTCATCTTCAGTTTGAAAGCCTCTCCCCTGCTTGATTTATATGCAGGCGAGGACTTGCCGATGATTTCTGAAGGACGGGGAAGGACCGCTAATTGAAATGGGATGATGTCGTGTCCACCTCCCACCCCCTCCCCTCCTCCAAGCGTGCTCCAAACGTTGTGCTCACCTTGAGCCTTTCAGGCTCCCTTCATCCGAGAGGTTCTTGGATGAGCCTTTGTTCTTCGACAGCCACGATTTGACCCCGTCGACCCGATTCTCCACTTCCGAGTCTGTGTCCGAATCCTCACTGTGGGGACAAGGGAGGGGTTAAAGGTCACGGGAATGGTGGGGGAGGTGGGGGAGAGCCTTAAGCCAGGCAGGCAGGCTGGCTGGTTAGTGGGCTGCAACGAGAAGCCAAGGAGGAGAGAACAGCAAACACACATGCAAGGAATGATGGATCATCCTCGACCCGAGAAACTGTTTCTTATTATTTTCACTGCCGTTACAAATGCTATCGCAGCTCTGTGGCTGCAGTTAGTTAGCGCTAGATGCTGTCTGAAACACAGGAGAGAGGCTGGGTTTCATCTATTATATTTGAAAGCCACACTTGGGTTAAGCTGGTGCAAAGAAGAGGAGGGGAAAACACAGAAAATCCCTGGAGATTTTCTCATTTCAGCCTATTTCATTTCATTAAAACCTTCATTTTTTTCCCCCCTGGAATAAAAAAAAAGGACTGCATTGAAGGCAAATTCTGTGTGCACACTTTGGAGAACAGATAAATATTTTCTTCTTAACGAATTGTCTTTAGGCAAACTGTTAGCCACAAAGGACGAGACCAAGATGACACGGGGGGGGGAGAGAAATGTTCAGCACTCCACAGCAGGGGTACAACTATCTCCTGGACATTCATAGAAGTGTTAACCGCTTTTTGAGAACCTTAAACAGGTGGAAAAGAAAAAACTGAAAATACTCAAAGGATTGCGTATCCTGGCAGACTGCATAATTCTGCCACTTTCAGGGTTCGGAATCACCGCTGTCATTTCAGAAAGAGAACGGTAATGACAAGGGTGAGAAATAACAGGGATCCATGCCAAGTAAAACACAATAATAAACACCAGGACAATGATGTCAATAGAGAACAGTCTTAAGAAGCATGAACGAAAGTTGGTTTCTGAATTTCCACACAGCTATCGGGCTGTTTTGATCCTACCACCGACTCCAGCTCAAGAACAAACACGAAGCCTCGCGTAAATGAAAATGTGTGCCCAGCTACTGTCCTTCCCCCTCAAAAGGCACGTAATAAGTTACAATTGGGCAGCAGAAGCGAGAGGGGCCTGCTTCAGGCCAGGATGTAAATCACTCTTCTGAAGCTATAATTAACTTTGGACACTGTGCTCCGGCTATTAAACTGTCCAGAACAAAAGCAGAGTGTTGATGTGGCTAACTGCTGGCACGTCTTTCCACCCCAGTGGTGTAAATAAGAACTATCCCGCAGGAAGATGCGCTTCCTTGGTGCTTTGGCGTGGGTTTTAAGAACTGTAGATTTTATAGCAATTGCTTAAATTTCCATGAATGATTTCCTTCCCCCAGCCAGGGCGAAGCTCTGTCCTGCTCTGCTCCCTTTCCGTTGAGCTAATCAAAGATGGACAAATAAAAAGGATTTGCAGTGAAACGAAACTGCCCGTTTCGCCGAACCACAAAGGAGGTCATGTGGCTTGATGGATCTTCCTGTTCTGTCGCACTAAAGACATGAACATTACGCGTCCTGATCAAAACCACGCGCCAGTCCCGGGCGCATGTGGTGGCAACAAAGTAAGAGCTGCTTCAAATCAAGCCTCCGTGGCGACTGGGATCTGAAAAGGATTTTCCATTTAGGGTTCTCCAAATTTGATTCCAGAGTTAATGATCCATAATTTAATTCTTCTAACTGGTTGAGACTACCATGTTTTCACAAGCTGCACATTATTATAACAACATAACTACTAATCATTCCTTCCTTCAATTGTGCCAAAGGACCCCAAAGCACTTCATACTGTATATACAATAGGAAAATACTCCCCTAATCCTACCACTGAATATACTACGGCTCAGCATTGAACTTAATTGATTTGTTTTAGGTAAATAACTAGAGCACATACATGCTTGATCCAGCTGATCAATCCAGACAGTGCAGGCCCAAGGCTGTATAAACAAACACATATTGGTAAGAAAACGAGAACGAGGAAATACAGAGCTGAGACTTAACAGACTCGCACCTCAAACGCTCAAAGTGGGCATGATCACTCACTAACTGCACCTGGCTCTCCAGTACCAGCAGACAGCCCCTGAGACAGAGGGGCAGACAGCAAGGCGAAGCCTCTTTAGAATGTCAGTGTGTAATGAAAGGGCTCCCGCGAACAAACTTGTAAGGAAAACTGTGGCACGACAAAGGCTTGTAATCGAGCGCTTTACACATTGTGTCACACACAATTTATGTCCTTGGCTGCATACCATTAGTTAAGCGGTTCTGAAACTCGAGGGAGCAAACAAACAGAGACTCTGCAGGGGGAGACATTAATTGTCTGTGACAATCGGGCTCCACTGGCTCTGTATCCCTGTTAGAAACTATTACATTTATCATTAACATCTATGGATTCCCCTTCTTTTTCTCTCACCTGCATTTTCACATTCTTCACTGCTGCCTGACTTTACTTTTAATAATCTCAAATAATTAGGTACTGAGAGTCGGTCCTGTAGGGGATGAAGAAAAAGAGCCCCTGGAAAAGCCTTCAGAGGAGAGGCAGACTTCCTGCTCTTGTTTTTGAAAGGGGAGACTTTTTTTGGTGCTGTAGCTACAGGGCCGACTTCTGACACTACATGACCAAATACATCGTCAAGGTAGCCATCTTCAAATCATTCCTGTAATTTCAACTGCCTGACAATACTACTGATTAGTACGGCTGACCGTTTACACAGCTCAACAAGTGCAATGCCCTACCTGGGATTTGAACCAACAACCTGCATGCAGAGCCCTACCCACTTCTCCACACTGCTGACTTTAAAAAAAATACAATTATTAGATCAGCTCCTGGTTCTTCTTTGCATCCATCTACTTTTGTTTTCAGGACATGACTATGCAAATTCATTTTAATATAAAGGGAACTCAATTCATTTTTCCCCCCCTAAGAAGGATGGAAAGTTGGGATTATCCTTTAATTTTTTTAATCCATTAAAACTGCAATTCATGTAAGAATTTATTACGGAATTCTGTAAGAATTACTGATATAATCAAAAAATCATTCCTATACTAACCATGCCATAATACCCTGCTTGTAATACTCAAGAGACTGGCTTATGAGAATCATTTTGAAGCAAACTGATATGCATGCTTACAATACTGAATCAGGTGCAATAGCACGACAACTCAATCAAGCTATCCTAAATTTGAATCCAATCACATCTTGTGTTAATTAGGCACGTGGCCCATATAAAAGTATAATCCCTGCACAGAAAAAGTAAGTCATGCCATTTATGCAAGCCAACATGACAGATAAAGAAAGTCTTTCTGCAGGCAACACCCTGAAATTAATATTTATGCAAATCAATTTTAGTGCTTTACATTTAAAGTCAGGCATAATGCTTTTTGATATGTTGTGTTGCCTGCTATTTGAGAGATTTTTACCATTTCCATCTCGGATCTTTGCCTTAAGACAAACATAATTCCGCTAACCTGACAAAGCGTTATAACTGGCTGTGCTGTATTAAGAACTTCCTTGGATAAAATACTAGTTTAATTATGGGGTGACAGAAATAGCTACAATAATAATGACTTTTTAGAATGTTTTGTTACAGTAAATAAGGTGTTTGTTAACTGGATAAGAAAAGCCAGCTGTTTAAAATACAATGGTCGATTACATCCAGGCTGCGCAGTTCCAGTTGTAAGAATCAGTTACCTTGTAACAATCAAACCACCTGGGACAGAACTGATTCCTGTCAGCAGAGTTCACTACAGTTAACACACTGTTCAAAAAATATACAGCGTCGCGTACCAGCTGCTCAGTAGTGAGGGATTCGGAACTATGTTAAACGGTATTAAAAGATAATTCGAGTAGGTAGCTCTGGAGCCTTCTCCAGGTGTGAGATGGGAAAAGAAATGGGAAATGACTCTCCTGAAACATTGTTTCTTTTCTTCTCCTTTCAGCATGGAATAAACCTTTACTTGTTCCTTTGCGGTCTCAAAAGATTCTGTACTTACACACCCGGCATTCAGCAAGATAGCAGAGCTAGCTGTAAACTCACAACAGGGCGTCTGGTCTAGGGCAAAGCCAATGGCCTCATCCCTAACACAGCCCTAACTCCATCCTTCAGTTAAATGCCAGCCACTACAATGCACCTTCATGTTTTAAAAGAGCAGCTATTACCCGTCAAAATCTCTGCCTTGACACAGTAACAAAAAAAGAGGCAGGACCCAATTAGAAAAATAACAAACTAAACTTACCTTGAGTGACAGACATTGTACCTGCAGTAATACCTGTCTACTTCCTTGAACCTACAGCTTTCAGGTGGAAAAACTGGGATCAAAGGATTTAGTTATGTTAACAAAGGCATCTTCTGAGATGCATGCATGTGTTGCAGGATGTTTCATCATGCAGAGGGTTTATGAAGTAAAAACCTGGATTAATGGACATGCCACAGACAGAGATGCAGTATCCCCAACCTTGCAGCACCAGCCTCCTGGCTATGTTGTGCCTATTTGGCGGTGAGCTCCAGTTAGGCTCGCCAGGTCTACAAGAACTGTTGTCTTGTTTCAAAGGGGACTCCTTGCCTTTCGACAGAGTGGAGCCAGCTCTGCAGTCAGTCTTAGTGTTGCTCTAATGAGAGCATTCACATGTACACTACTGGAAGCCAGGGAACAGCTGTGTTTGAGAACTAGAGATCTACTGGCCAATTCAACTCCTGTACTGCACCACTTCTGCATATTTAAGATCCTTCAACTGCTTTCAGATAACTGAGTTCTGGGTTTTTCTTTCCAGGAAAATAAGTGTTTTGGGATCAGTGCATACATAAATCCACATTATTTATCATTAATGTATAATGCATAACTTATGATTGTGCCCTGCAGATTAAATACATTTCCATTCCCTCAACAAGCTCACTGGATACTGCATCTTCATCATGAGAAAGCCAGTGTCCGATTTTATGGGCACAGGATAAAAATGGCAAAGGATAAAAACGGATGTGCAGTCTGGTTCTCACGTTTTATTCTTTCTTTTCTGATACTTTGTCACCATGTCTTGTAAACTGGAGATGGATAAGATGTAAAAGACAAAAAAAATGACAAAAAGTGAGAGAAAGTCACATGAAAAAAAAACAATAAAAACATACAAAACAGTGGAAAAGGAACAGATGTGAAATCCAAACTGAGAGCTGTGTTTGGCTGATGAAAACAATACAGGTCACACTTGCTACTCTTAATCCTAAGTGTCAGTCTGGTACTTCTGGTTAACAGACTGTCTAATATTCTCCTGAAGGCCTGAAAGTGACAGTATCAGAAGCTCACATGGACTGCCTTGCAGTTTTATCAGGGACGGCTCTTTTAAAACAGCAGAATGGCAAAACTAAAGTAAGAAACAACTGGGCACGCAGGAAGGTGAAATCAGCACTTCCCAACTTGGAAGCAAGAGACTGAGAGCAGGTTTTAAATGCCGAAATGAGAGACTGCTGTTTTCCAACTATATTCAGAAAAACGTAATAAAAGAGGAGACAGAACCGTGCCATTGAGCAGAAGCCCTTGGGCTTCCAGGATTTCTATTCAGATTTAGACAGATATGATAATGGCAGCAGCAGGAAAGACACTTGCTGGAACTTACCTTTAACTTCCAGGCAAATGTCTTGTCATTTGTTTTCTAAAGCCTTAAGAACAAAAATCTCTTTATGGCCTGTCAGTCAGATAGTGACTCACCTGCTTCATCTCACCTGCTTGTTTTTAACTCTGACATGATAAAGACCACAACGTTAAAAAGGGGAGGACATGAAGGCACTGCGAGGAAAGAGGGAGACCATCAGTACCTGTTAATAAGATCCTCATTGTCGTCGCTCTCCATCTCATCCTCGATGGCAGCCTGCAAGTCCCCGATCCGCTTAAAAGCCAGCTTGAGATCTGCCTGTAGGCTCTGATTGGCTGCTTCTAAACTCTCAATGTCCATCTCCTGTTAAGCAAGAAACACAGGGGTCAGTGCTACACACTGCTCTGTTAACTGCTGCTTACGTTAAAAAAAACAACAACCAGGAGACTGAAATTTTCGTCTTGTAAGGCGTTTTCATTCAACGCAAGCGTCCCCATAAAAGGAAAACCCACATAATAATAATTCCTTACACTTACAGTATATAGCACTTTTCTGGACACTCCATTACTTTACAGGTAATGGGGGTCCCCTCCACCACCACCAACGTTCATCCCCACCTGGATGAGGTGACGGCAGCCATAGTGCACCAGTACGCTCCCCACACAGCAGCTCTCAGTGGGGAGGAGAAGAATGCAGCCAACTCAGAGATTAGGAGGCCATGATTGGTAAAGGCCAATAGGAATTTTAGGCAAGACGCTGGGGTAATACCCCTACTCTTTTCAAGAAACACCCTGGGATTTTTTTTGACCACAGAGAGTCAGGACCTCTGACCGCAGGGTGAGCGCCCCCTGCTGGCCCCACTAACACCTCTTCCAGCAGCAGCCTTAGTTTTTCCCAGGAGTCTCCTTTCCAGGTACCGGCCAGGCTCACACCTCCTGAGCTTCAGGGGGTTGTCACGTGGGTGGGTGGCGAACTGCAGGGTGATACGGCTGCTGGCGTACATGAACAGGCTGGAAATCTGGGCCCTGACTTTGTCAACACTCCTAATTGCTTTCTCCTTCTGTCCCCAGCTGCAGCGTGGAAGAGGCCGCCCCTGACACCACGACCACCTGCTTCACGATGACGTTACCTGAGGCTCAGCCCCGGATGCTTACCAGCTCATGTTTCTTGCGGCTGGCCTCGGCCTCCTTCTTGGCGAGCTCGCCCATCTCCTCCTTGATGTCTCGGATCTGCCGCTGCTGCCTCTTGTTCTGCTCCTTCTCCCGGTTCTCGGCGGCAGTGCGCTGGTCCCTCTCCTCCGTCAGCTTCTCCACGTTCTCCTTCAGCCGGCTCACCAAGCTCTGGGGGGGGGGGTTAAAAATGAGCGCCAACATCAACAAGAAGAACAAGCAAGCTCCCACAACACACCTCGAATAACATCAAGATATTGTAGCAAGCACAAACTGGGAATTCCAGGGATAATCTTCAAAGACTGGGCTGTGGTCAGCATTGCTGCCTCGCAGGGCTCAGGCCATGGGCTCACACCTGGGGTGCTTTCTGTGTGGAGCTTGAATGTTCTCCTTATGATCGCATAGGTATCGTATGGGTGCTCCACTTTCCTCCCACGGCCCAAAACGGTAATGCCTGGTGAACAGGCCTCTGGGAAAACTGGCCCTGTTGCCCGTTTGTGTGCGCGTCTGTGATTGGGCCTGTCCTGTGATGGCCACCCTTGTGCATGTGCCGAGCTGGGACAGTCTCCTGCTCCCCTGTGGCTCGGAACTGGAAGAAGCAGTCAGGAAGTGGAAGGATGGATGGAAGGATCTTCAAAGAGGAAGGCACCCTCCCAGTTCCAGTACGCACTGACTGCTGCACGTCAAGACAAAAAATCTGGCTGAATAATATACGTCAAAACACTAAGAGCCAATAGCCTGGGGCAGGTCATGTGTTCTTTGTAAAACGCCTGTGTCCCCCTGACACGTACTGGCACACGTGTAGTCTGCACAGTAGTTTGCATGGAATTATTTTTTCTCCAGACTGCACCAGTACTTCTAGGAAACTATAGGTTGCCTCCATTATGAACTGCGGCTGCAGCAACAACCGTTAAACAAAACAGGGCTCTCATGGCTACAGTTTATATAAAATATGATTCCTAAATCGCAAAACTGTCTCTCACAAAGGCACAATTATTAATCTACTCAGGGTCTTAATGGGAGTATTTGGTGCTGACAAGGCATTTGTATAACTAATGAAGTTGAGTGATTGAAATGGAGCCTGCTCGCTGGTGGTAAATAGAAGCTGATGCACTTCGGAAGGGGTAGATTCATTCTTGAGGGAGCAAACTTTAATTACAGCAGCCTTGTTAAATTGAAAAACGATTCACCTTTTGTCTCAAGTAATTATAGAATGTAATTCCGAAAAGATTAAATTACAAAAAGGACATCATTGACTGAATATGTTATTAGTTGAAAGGCTGATGGAAGACAGACAGCCTACTGGGTAGCCTGGACCAAAGAATTCATTCTTTTCTGAACTGCTATTCAAAAAACGGTACAGCTCCGGCGAAATCAAATCTGAATGACCCTCTTGACAACAAACTCTTTGTGATACAGACTGTACTGAAAACTGCAGGCCAGAACTACAATGTCCCAATGCGGACTGGAGAAGGTTTTTTAAATTAGACCACAGACCACAGTCAAGAATAAGCACCTCGAGTGCCATCTAATTTGAAAAATCACTTGCGTGCTTTTCTTCATCGAGGAATGTGCTGGACCCTGCAGGGGATGAGCACAATACCAGCTGTTCTGGGGGAGACCTGAACTGCTGTGAAAAGGCAACTTTCATCTGAGTCCCAATGGAAAAGAGGAAGTCTAGCCTGCCTTTTAAACTGCGGGTTTGTTACCAGTGTTCTCTCTGCCCATTCATCCATACCATCCACTGACCACAGACCTTCAGAGCAACTTGGATGTGATTCATTGGATGACATTAAAAAATCAGTGCTTCTGTTGTGCAGCAGACCTCTTGATTTGCTCCTATTTCGCCAGTCCCATCTTTCGGCTCACCCACCTCGAGACGCTTGACCTGGGTCCTCTCGAACTCCAGCTTCGTCTCCAGCTCCCGGATTTTGGCCTCCTGTCGGCTGACCAAGGATTTGTCCACCATGGACTGCTCGACAAACTCCAGCTGACTCTGCAGGGACTGGAGCTATAGCAACACATGCAAAGACTAGAATTCAGGGACGAGCACTTACAGTATACTGCATTTATTGGATTTACAGAACTCCTTGGACACAGAATCTCCGAATGCTTTTGCACAAGAAAAGGAAGCTAAAACTAGATAGATGAGCCAATTGAAGCAAGACATATTAATAGTCTACTAAATGAATGCTGAATTTGTATGTTTAATTCAATCAGGGAGGGAGGTACAGATCTTAGTGGGATAACTGCATGAAGCTCCAGGGAGGAATGGCTGAAAACCAGCTCTATGGAGTTGAATTCCTGCCAGAACGGATAATGGGATACACTTTGGGAGGTACAGGAGAATTCCAGTAGGAGCAAGACCACATAGCAACAGCTACGGAGGGAGAGACACTATATTTCTAGGTCCTTTTAAAGCTGTGGCACCTGAAGAGCTGGAAGAAGCTGACAGATGAGTTCAATTAGACTGCTAACAGGTTGATTTAAGTCATTAGCAGCAGAGTTGGAATTAATATCTGGAGAAATGCAGAGTGGGATCCAAGTCACCACACTGTTTAAATCCACAATGTAAAAATTCACATTATATCTCCTACTAAGCCCTGTATGACATACAAAAAACATAAACAGACATCCCTTTGTTCCCAAGCCTACACTAAACTAATAAGAACAAACACTGCCAACATCTTTAATAACAGTGTATGCACATTGATTTTCAGCAAAAGGAGATTAATTTAAAGCCTAACAGCAAGTCTAAGATACAAGCTTGCATGCCTGAGTGTACAAAATCCTGCTCTGAATCTGGAGCACAGAGTAAGGAGCAGGGTTTAATGGCAATCTCTGACCCTGTTTTGTGGGAGGTCAATGTTTTAGAAACTCATCACTCTTCGCTGGAGAAAAACAGCAGAGTGTTATATTCATCTGCATAGGCAATTTAAAATGCAACAATTAGGGTGATAGTCATCAAGGCTTTTGGAAATGTGCACCACCAGTTTTGCAAGAGAAGTCAAGTATTTTAATGATACAAACTGGGAATCCTAAAAAGCTATTTCAAGATCCAGAGATACTCATTACTCAAGGCCCTGACATTTAACTACTGTTTTTTTCTTTATAGAGTTTTTAGTAAAGTGCACATTGTGAGCTTTTACTGGTAAGGCCTTTGAAAAAAACAATTTCTGAAATCCTTTTATCCCTCATCACAGTCCGGAAAACTGAGATTTAAAAAAAGCTTCAGACACCTTTTTCCATTTCAGTTTCCCTTTGATTCCAATAAAGTCGGTGAATCCATGAGCAAACTTTACTAATACTGATACAAGAGGAAAGATGAATACTGCATAAATGCATCAATCCTTCCTACGGCACTTTGGGTGAGAGATGCATTAGTCACAGAGAGTCAGAATGCACCACACTTCCCTGCTGTAAAGCCAGCTGTTTGGGTCTATTGCTGGTAAGTAGCAGACAGGACTCTCTCCAACACAGTGAGGCAGATGATGTAATCACTGGAGCTCACTGGAGAAGTGCCGACACTGTGCAGAGCATTATAAGAGGACTGTACCACTACAAATGAGAAACCCTATAAAAGTGCACAAGTCACTATGTATGGGAGGTGTTCTCACCAAAGAAGGCTTCCAAGGACTGGGAATAACACTGCACAGCAATGTGTTTAAAATGCACAAAATGTCTAATGGGTTAAGCACCAACGGGGTACACGATAAGGACACAGGCTATAAGGATGCTTAAAACTGACATGCCTATGCACATGTTCCACAGTCCTGAAAATATTCAGCACTTCTGGTTGTTTGTAGTATAATGTCTAAAGAATTATATGTTTCCTTTTTTAATGAAGTGTCCCACAAAGTCAGATTCAAGTCACACGGTTTGAGAGCTGGTTCTTGCAATTCACTATCTAAAGAAGCATCTCCTCTCGAATAATTGAACACTTAACTTCAGCTGGCTTCCCAAGATCTTCTGCATTGACATGCCTTTTGAGGATTCTGAATAGCCGAACACAGCCTTCATGCAGTCTTGCCTGTCTCGGGTCTGAAAGATTCAGCTCCCTCATTCTGACTATGCCAAGAGGAATTAGCAGAGATTGTTTCCTTTGTACTATACCACCTATTGGATGACCAAACCTCAATCCAATATTCAAAGTGTGGTTTGAATAATGTAATGATAGATTTTCCCCTTGATTTGAATTTCCCCTTGAATAAACTTTACACTCTTAATATATTCAGGCACCTTTTGCTGTACTGTCTAGCAGAAGACAAACTCCTAGATCATTTGCACCTATTGCCTCTTCTGGTTCAACTCTAAAATTGCACAGTGTGCAAACTGCACTTGTGGCACAGCAGCAGATGGATAACAGACGGGGTTAATGGGGCTAACAGACGATTGATCCCTGTGGTTTGTGGGTTTACCTTCTCCTGGATCTCCTGTTTTTCCTTGCTGGCTTCTTCCAGCTGCGCCTGCAGATCGCTGATCTGAGCCAAGTCTCGAGACGACTGTCAGCAAGCAGGAAGAAAAAGGATGCATTGGAAAAAAAAAAGTAGAGAATTTCTTTTACAAACATAAAGGGGACTTAGCTCTCTGTACATCCCCCCCCCCGAGTACACAACAAAATCGATGCTGGAGGCACGAATCACTTTGCATGAATCACTTTGCTAATGAATCCAGATCACTGAAATCACTGAAGATTTTTTTAATTACATTCAAAAAAAGTTTCAGAGCAAATTAATAGGTTGGAAACCGGACGGCTTCATTAAGGCACAAGAACAATTTCTTTTTATTTTAATAATCACATCAGTGGTTTAACAAAGGCTTTTGTACTATTCACATTTGCAAAGTTATTTCAATGTTAACCAAAAAATTAAATCCATGGTTCAATTTAGACAAGTGTGCTCTCAACTAAATGAAGGATTCAGCTCTCCAGTCCACAGGGAATCCTCAGCGTTGCCGTGAAGAAAACATATGTACATGAAGCAAGAGGCAGCAGGTTTTCTCTCCCACTTCAGTTTTTTTATTTTATGGACCGTCCCTATCAAGGCGTCCTTACAGCGTGACAATGAAGAAAAAACACATCACTCACAGACCCGTACAAATGCCCACTAGCACACCTTTTTGAGGTTGCATTCCTACACCTCTCGGTTATAAAAAATAAATCCAATTCTAAATTAAGCGATTGATGGGCATCACAGCTCAGAACTAATTTGACTACGTTAAAAAAGACGGGTAAATTGCTTATGGCCAGACGCTCTCTGTTCTATACTAAAGCTGAAAACAAAAATTATCGATCTGCCGCTGGAGAGAAGTCGGCAGGGCTGTTCCGCACTGTAGCGATGGAGCACTGCGCCTCTTGGGGCTGTGTTGTCAATGCGTCCTGACAGAAGGCATTCTGGGAGAAGAGCAGGTAGCCACAGTACCTGTGCCACAGCAGCCTTGTGCTTCTTCATGAGCTCGTTCATGTCCTCCTGGTCCTCCTCCAGGCGCGACTGCAGCTCGTTCTTCTCGCGCTGCAGGCGGCTCACCTGCTCCTCCAGCTGAGAGAGAGAGAGAGAGACGGGAGACGCCTTCAGACTCGCGCGCTGGCTGGGCACACTGCGTGCTGCAGGCGTGCAGTCCCACGCCTATCCTACCTGCTAGCGCTGGAGAGTGGGCCAACATTACAGGGCTGGCCTGCGAGGTACTTTCCCTTCTGAAAAGGATTCAAATAACCTCATAAAAATGTCCACAGACAAATAAAGGTATCAGATTACACCATTATCGAAAGGAGATTCCCACACCGCTGTAAAATAGGTTCAGTGTGCACAGAGGAAGAACCAGCACTGTTAGCAATGAGCCACACAGTGAAACTTCCCTCTTCCCTGTTAGAGAGACTCAGATTCCTAGATCCAGGGAGGTCTTTGCACATGCAACAGCAGTCGTTACCAGGGGTACTAATTAGTGGCTTAACAAGCAGCACCGCTAATGCACTTTGCTACCTTCTTAGGAAAATTAAAACTGTAATTTTATTTCTCTAATCATCTTAAAATACATAAAAATGGGTTTAGAGGAGCCCGTGACAGAGAATATTAATAAGGAATGAAAAATGTGGGTTTAAAAAAAAGCTAATGAATCCATTAGCACAAAAACAGGGAAGCGAAATGACTTCTAAAACATGCTGACACAATGACATCCATCTTATTAACGTGTTGCAAAAACAGATTGGTGGAATGTATAATGGACTAAATGTATTAAACTCTACTTAAATAGAACATAATTTTATTTAAAAAAAGTAATTATTCATTCAAAGTTGATTACCTAGAACCAGGTGAGGGCTGCTTTCAAACACACGCAAGTCAATGCAGATTGGACTTTTAATGTTCATTCGAAAAGGAAAATCTGTCAGAACGTGTGATGGCAGGGAGTCAGCCATGGAACTGGGACAAACTTTTAGCAGGAATGCTCTGAGTCCATCACACAGCTCAATACAGGCAATCAACACTACACCTTCTTCAGTGTATTTTTATACAGGTGAATCCATTTAGAAAATGATATGAAGTTGTTTAACTCATAAAAAATCATGGCTTCACCTCTGAAGGGGTACAAATGGATATTGTTAAACAATCTGCAGCTTTGGCCTTCTTTTATGAGCATTATTATGTACCTTTGTTTTTTTTTTCCGCTTGGTTTTAGTCAAAATCATTTTTTTCTTAGCAGCCGAATGTTACCGATGCTGCTGATAAACCAAGAAGCTGGGAAATTATCTAGTTACAGGCCAGATGTCATAACGCAAAAGTAAACAAACACTGACAAGTGTTTCTGGATCTTTATATGGAGAATAAACCGAAAAAGAGAGGCAGTAGAGTGATTAGTAATTATGTTTGGCCCAAATGCATTTCTAACTATAGCAGCAAATTAAAAAAAAACACTCATCCTAAAAAAATGATCACAATAATTTCCCATAATTGCAGAGTTCAACATATAAGCAAGATATGGAAAAATTGCAGCCTTTGTCAACAGTCTCTCACTCACATTTAAAGAAAAAAGAAAAAACAGCTATTGTACTGCTGTCACACATGCACGGGCGTTTGGCTAATGGGTCCTGACAAGAAAATCACGTTCCATTAAGACATCAAGTGTTTGGACACAAAATCCCATTGGGTGCAGCTGCTCTGCGCTGTTGGAAAGACACTTTCCCTACTCATCACAACCGAGAGCCCCTGTAAGCAATGAATAAATACATACCTAACGTCAGCGGGGCCTGAACAACACATTTAACCTTTGGCGTAAGAGAAGAGGGGGGATCTCGGAGCAGATAATTCCAAGAATAAAGAATTTAACAGTCGTAATGAGTGTGCCTGTTAAGTAGATGGATGTGCATTTGCTCCTAATTACAGACTCGCAAAACGCTCCGAGGAGTATTTGCTTTAGTTTAGCTTGTGGATCTGATGCCGCGGTGCCATCTGAAAACATAATAAATTAGTTTCATCTTCCTTCCCATGGAAGGCCGTTCCATAAATCATCGCAATACAGATTTGGAAGTCAACACTTCGTACATAAAGGTAGCAGCCTAGATTACTGTATAAACAAATATATTTTCCCTATAGGCAAGGGAAAACCAACCTAACTGAAATATTTTATTTCATGGAGATGGCGGATAAGCAATGAATTTAAGGGAAAGAGCCTTTGATCGCCAATGGAGTGGGTCACTAAGAGGTGTACAAACTGCTCTGCTGGACAGTGTATAAATTACCTAGAGGTGCCATGATCCATTTAGGCAAACAGTGACATACAAAATGGACTTGGGGAAAACAGCACTGAGCAGAAACCTGCTGCCAAGTCCGTCCTCTCACGAGACATAGCACTATCACAAAAAGATCACTGCGTGCTCCAGGACTGCTGCATTTGATCATGTTCAAAGGCCACCCTTCATTATTCTTCTTTGCTCAATATTACTATCTATCATTAATGGTAAGAAATTACCCGGCAGCTTAGTGCTGTGCTTCTCACTCGAAAGCCACTGTGACTTCTGGACTCCCTCCTACCTCCGCTCTTAATTACTTAATTGAATCAATCATTGAATGAACCGGACTTAACCGCGGCAATCGTTAACTGTCCGGAAATTCTGCACACTGTACAACAATGAAGACGAATAAGAAATAAACTAAAGAGTGCCACACAATGTCAGCATATCACCATGGAATCCACTACCTCAACATCTGACGGTGCTGTTGACCTTAGGTGGAATATTTAATTAATGTTTATTATTCATTTCAGACCTGCTATGAACTGCATTCAGTCATTCTATTCTGAAAAAACAATGAAATGCAAGACCAGGAAGAATGTTACAGCATTAGACAGTAAATCTAGAATATACAGTGAATGGTTTACAATTAACATTATGTATAAAATCTCTTTTCTTTATCCTAAAGATGCTGAGCTCCACAGAAGAACCAAAAGGAATTTGAATCCTTCTGCTCATAAACAAAGGCAGCTCAATAAATAACACAAAAAAACATCTATATATCTATATGTATATTATACCAAAGCTCCTGCTATTATGTGAACTCAATTACTTTTTTCCCCTAGTCTAAAGATAATATTCAAGCTAAGATAGCATTATTAAATCGAAATGTATTTCCCGGTAATATGTCTTGCTCAAATTAGAAATGGATTTCAAAACAAGCCATTACAAGCTAAGCCATTTCCCGGCAGCCTATCCTATAATTGAACTTGTGCCCCGTGCAGCAGGCTACAGGAATTAGATTGCTACCAGGAGGCAGAAATGCACTTGAATTCGGCATCCCCTGGAGTCGAGGCAGTAGGGAAGACCAGCAGGCTCAGACCGCCTTGAGCGACTGCCTGAAATTTCTACATGTTCCTTAGGACCACTGCCCCCGATACAGGGACCTCTGCAGCGAGATGGAACCAACTGTCAAGGTCTTATTCAAAGGCGGAGAAGAAACTGAGGTGGCACCCATACTTCCAGTCTTTGACTTCTTTAGTGTTAACATGGTCCTTTGTAGATGTCTGTAAGGCTCATCCCGATTTTTCAAATGCCGTAGAGTTCCGGTTAAAATTAAACTCTGCAGCTTGCGAAATGTCCGTCAATAATTTTTGGTGGTTTTGTGAAACTGAGGGAGGAATACAGACCAGGCCTAAAAAAAAAGGGCTGCATTTTGGTTAAAAAAAAAATAGTGGGCTATCCGAGCTTCTGGGTTAGATCTACGCCGCGGGGCTGTTAAACAGATACTCACCGCAATTTTGGCCTTGGAGATGTCGTCCATCTGAACGTGCAGGTCCTCGATCTCCACCTCCATGGACTTGCGGGACTTGACTGCAGCGGCACAGGTGAACTCCGACTCCTCCAGCTGTGCACGCCGGGCAGGAGAAGGGCAGGGGGTCAGAAAAGACGAGCACATCTGGACAGGCAAGCTCGGACCACTTGGAAGCAAGACTCCCAGTAGAGCAGCCCGATTCATTTTGTTTCTGGTTCTGCTTTATTATTTAGGATGAAATGTTAGTTGGTACTTGGAGGAGTGCTTCCTAAGCGCTTAAATCATTCTTAGGCGTGTCAGGCCTGGGCGTACCTGGTTTTTGAGCTGGGCGATCTCCCTCTTGCTGGGCGCGTTGTTCTTCAGGTGGTCCAGCATGATCTGGGCGTCTGCCAGCAGGGCTTTGGTGCGTTTCAGGTCCTTCTTCAGCCGCTTCTCCGTCTCCACGTCCCGCTGGCACACCTGGGGCAGGGCAGGCAAATAACACATGGTCCCAACACGGAAAACGGCATGTGGGGAAGGGCTACACAACCTGTGCGTGTCCTACCTGCTCCTGGGCAGCCAGCAGCTTGGCCTCCAGATCTCTTCGCTCACGCAGGACTTTCTGTTTGTCATCATATTCCTCCTCCAGCTGCACCTCCATCTGCCTCAGCTGTACAACAGTGGGAATCCATTTGTTCATGTAGTCACACGGGGATAAGCAGTTTCGACCGTATTTGTGATAAAGAGGTGCAGTGCAGCTCAAGGGAAGCATGCAGAAAGCTCCTCTTTTATATCTAAAACACACTTCAAGGTTGACCTTAAGGGCAAAGGGGGCGTCATACCTTCTTGTTGCAGGACTGTCTGATCTCCTCTACTTCCTCTTCCTTGCTCTCGATCTCCTTGGAGTGCGTCTGCCTGAGCCGCTCCATCTCCATCTCCAGTCGCAGCTTAGCCTGGAAGACAGATGAGATATTATGGATAAATACAATCACCCTAAGCATCATCAGATGAACATCTGGCTTGAGTATGCCAATGGTTACCACACAGCACCTGGACATAGCCATACTAAACTATACTTTTCGAAACAGCTGGACTTAAAGCCCATTTGCAGCTTCTCTAACATCTGGAGTGAAGTTCTAGCTGCTGTGTCATCTAGACTTAGAAGCCTAAGGTTTGTAACTGCTCCAATATCTGGACATTGCCATATTAAACTACATGTGTTGAACTTTCTGGAGTTAAAGCCCGCTTGCAGCTGCTCTTATCTACACCTGAAGTGAAGTGCATTCTGCCTGCTGTGTCACATGTACTAAGAAGCCTAAGATCTGTACCTGTTCCAGCATCTGGATGGTTCCAGCCTGTTCATCCAGTTCCTCCTCTTGGTCCTTGACCTTTGCTTCTAAGTCACGCAGCTGTTTCTTGACCTTGGCTAGAGAGGCCTCATCCTTGGACTCCTGTGAAGAGAGGTCCTGCAGCTCTGCTTCCAGCTGCTCGACCTTCACGTTCAGAGCGCACATCTCCAGGTCCTTATCCTGCAGACACAAGACAGGTGTGAGCCAAGCACAGAATCCCCACCAGAAGCCAAAAACATCTTAAGAAATTAGGAGGATCTTAAATTAAAAACAAAATTCATGGCAAAGAATCAAGACATGTCTGCAGGTTTTAATAACACAATCAAACCCTAAACAATATTGTCGTGCTGGTAATAAATGCAACATTTTGGAAAGATAGTACTGTATAATGCACAGAAAAACAGTAGCTCTTCATTACTCAGTTCTTGTTAAAACTATCAATGAGCTGTCCTTCACACCTACAGCTTCATTAACCTGTACTGGTTGTAAGGTACCGTGCTGTAACCTGTAAGGTTGAGATCCAGTCCTCTGGCCAATTAAAAGCATGATTTAACAATCTAAAGATTTGCAAAGAAGTTATGCAATCTTTCTGAACACAAATCCTCTGTGACAAAATCCCACTGACAAGGTTCTCCTAGATGTTTTGAACAATGTCAGCTTCTTTGCTGGTTCTAAATTATTGATGAAGTGATTTCAGAAAGAACCAAGAGAAACCCCTTGACCTCCATTTGAGCTGGAAAGGCTGTGATCACTGCTGTGGATGAGTGCAGTATACAAAGTGGTTGAAAAGATATCTGTTATGAGCAGACTCCAGGTTAGAACATGGTAGCAGTACATCTACACTAGTAGATACTAGTGACTGCCTTTTCCCCATAAACAGCTTTTAACAACAGCTTGTATCTTCACTAATGTCCTTCATTTACTTCATTTAACTTTTAAATTGTCCAGGCAAAGAATAACATTATGGAAGATGATGTTGGACATTAGAGGAAAGTGTCTGTGTGGTGTGTCTGTTACATTCTCTTTCAGATGGACGTAGCAAGCAAGACATTCAAAGCATTTACAGTATTTACTTTGATAGTAATAACAGGTGAAAAAATCTAAGAGACTGTTACAATGAAAGGTGCAGAGAACAGGAGGTACTGCGTTATTTAATGAGTCATTAATGCTGCAATTCTATACATGCACTGGATGAAAATATCAAAAGGATGAGGAACAAGCAAGGAAAAGAAAAAAAGACAGCAATGACAAACCATGTTTAACAAACGCAGGAAACACAGCCCAGACACTTAGCAAGCTTCTTTGCATAGCATCACCTTGAGCTCCTTATTGCCCCTCCACTTGGGAGAAGAGCAGCCGTTTCCTGTCCCCAGTATATAAAACCTGCTGGGCCCAGCCTGAGGAAGTGCTGGTGCTGCCCCCTGGTCTGTACTATCAGATAGAAATCTAGGGAATCAGCGCTAACAGAGGCAGTTACAACCTGTGTTCTATGGGATCTGTTCCCAGGAGCTCAATTTCTAACACATGAGAAATGTATGGGGGCTTCACTGGGGTACCTGTAATGGCATTAGTGATATCTTTCCCATAGAATAGCATTGAAAATCAGTTTTAGACAGGAGGGAATTTACTGCTTACTTTTAGGTGCTTGCATGCACATCACAGACAGACAGACAATCTGCTCCTATACAGGTGTATTTGGAGGAAGTAAAGTAACGTCCTGTATTGCAATTGAACCAGGCAAGCGAGGCGCTGCTATGCAATGTTAGCTTGCCCCCGGCGCTAGACTCCACTCCACTCCCCTGTACCTCCAGCTGCTGCTTGAGGCTGAAGGCCTCCCCGGTCAGCATGTCCTTCTCGCGGCTCAGCTTCTCTCGCTGGGCCCTCTCTCGCTGCACCTCCTCCTGCACCTGGGCCAGCTCCGCGTCGAACCTGCAGCGCCGGCGACAAAAGCCCGTCAGCTCCTTCAAAGGGGAAAACGCCCTCCTTTCGGACAAGAGGGTCATGTCGCGCAGCGCCACCCTGTGGTCTTGCAGGGTGCTGATGAAAATCAGGTGGGGGGGGGGGCGGGGGGAGAGAAAGCTGGAGGCATCTTTAAATATGCCTTTCCAGTCTGAGCCCCACTCAGTCAGGCTGTAAATCACAATGTAGTGGTTGTCATTGTCTTTGTCTGCAGAAGAATAATGTATAAACATTCAGCTGAGCCCTCTTGACCTCTAATAATGCTTAAACAAGACGAGTTTCGACCTCCAGGTCTGCTTCAAAAACCAGACATTGCCACACTAAAGCGTTTCAGACAGAAGATGGGTAAAATGACCAGGAGGAATAAAGGCAATAACAGGCCAGTTATGAGGAATCCTTTGCAGAAACTGCAAAATTAGCCCCCTCACATCATCATCTCCACACAGGGAGCATGCCAGAAATCATTTGGTCTTCAATAGTGCACTGTAGTGACCTGTCCTTAAAACAGTTCAGGATGATTTCGCTGCAAATTATGTAAGGTTCAAGCTCGGGATACTGCAGTTATTTTGAAAAGCCAGTTCTTTGAAGAATTGAGCCACTGAGCGATGCTAAGGCAACAGTAAGTGCCACGCAGGTACCCAGGCTCCCACTCCAAGCCAGCCTTTTAGCGAAAGCCGTACGAAGAGGATTGGTACCCTGCCAGACACTCCATCAGGCAGCTTCTCTACCTGTGTTTTTGCAGTAATAGCCATTTCTAACTACTGGTTTCTACAGAGGGCAACTCATTAGAGAAAAAAAAAGAGACTGTTCCAAAGCTCTTAAAATGGTTATGTAATTGCAACTTTACAACAGCTTCTTTCTGGCATCTCCAGAGAATCTAACATGGCCTCCCACAAAAGCCCCATGCGGTAGGAAAAAAATTGAGCTTTGTTTTCCCATGCATTTTCATAAATCCATAATTCCTGGTGAGGGTCCCTGGCAATCTGGAGCCCATCCGGGAAGAACAGGGTGCAAGCAAGAACATATCCTGGATGGGACAGCAGCCCGCGACAGAGGACACGCACAGGCACACAGGGACAAGGGGGAAACGCCCCCCAACCCAGCCAGCCCTTCTGTGGAAAGTGGGAAGAAACCAAGGCACCTGGAGGAAACTGCCAATCCCAGTCCAGATCAGAACCCAGGACCCAACAGCTGTGATTCCAGTCCAGACCAGAAGCCAGGACCCAACAGCTGTGATCCCAGTCCAGATCAGAAGCCAGGACCCAACAGCTGTGAGGCACCACGGCATCTTCCTGCATAGCTTTGATTTGCTTATCTTGCGCAGGGCTTTTCTTTTTAAAACAGCTCCTCATGCCAGAGAGGCAAACCTATCCCAGAAATGAGTAGGGGAAGCACATTCTGACTGATAACGCGCACACCTGCATGCACATAGCACATAGCAGAGGGTTGTTGTTTTTTTTTTTAAAAAAAATAAGCTTGCTATAAGCATCTTCAATGACAGTGCATTGCTGACGTGCTGAAATAAAAAGGAGAAGGCCTGGAGCTAGACTCTGAGCAATATCCTCCTAAAGTCTTCCTGACATGTCCCAGGGGAATTATACCAAAAGGGCGACTGATGAACGATGATCCACTGCAACAGTATAACACACCACTTAACACGCTAATCTCACCGCTTACTGCAGCCTCCCACAGTGCTCTTTACCAGAACTCCAGCTCCCTGATAAATCAATAGACAAAAGAGCTCCTTGACTGCTCGTCAATGTGCATGGATTGAGCAGCCACATCCTGGCCAGGCCCCGCCTGGACTGAGCACTGCTCCATGCTCGCTCGTTTGTTGAGGAATACAACCACTACTCTAAATTAAGAGTTATCTTTTTTTGTCCCCCAAAAAAGGGAACAATTGGGTTTTATCAATAAATCTTCCTGGAATTACACTGCAGAGCTCAATCTTGATCCCTTGGCTGTTTTCATGCTGCTTATCTTTTGCTTTTATTGAACAAAAAAAAACTCAAATCACAGCACTGGTCCCTGGGTAAATGCTTTGAGAACACAGCACCACATATGGTACGGCAACGTATCTGGGAAATGGACCAAAAGAAAAGCAGGACGTTATCTCAAGAGGGGTTTGCAATCTACAATCCACTCAGATATTTGGCAGGTCATCACTGCTCTAAGACTGAACAAGCCCTTCTCCACCCGGACGAACACTGAGGCACAGTGCCTCCAGCACACTCCATCTTCAATCATTATAAATGGCACCGCCTTGCGCCACAGACTTGCAAACTTACAGCAATGCTTCTTTTAAACGCATTGGCTCTCAAAGCTCGCCTTTCCTCCTTCAATCAACCTGCACACATTTGTTCTGCTACGGCAATTCCTAGCTCCCGAAGCCGGCCCTGTTATAGCAATGGATTACATGTGGTACAATCCGTCTCACTACGAGAGCGACCTGTTCGTTTCAGCCAATATCGTTCACGAGTATCAGAAAAGCTATTGTTCTCCCGTTCTGCCTCACCATCAACATCCACTGGCCTCGGGCTCAAACTATCAAAGGGACACATTCTGATAAGGAGCAAATAACAGGCAGAGAAAAAAGGTTAAACTGAAACAATAATTCTTTAAAAATAAGCGATACAGGACCTTAACCTTAAAAAAAAGGTTCTTCTTTCTATTAATACTTTCCTAGAAGATTTTGCCATATTGCACTTTAGAAGACACTGAACAGTGACTAAAGGCGACGCACAGCCGAATTTGTCACACAGGAAGGAGGAGACAGACAGGCAGGCCAAGGGTACTGCTCTCACTTGGCCACCAAGGGGTGCCGTGGAGATGTTCTGAACTGCCTGGAGAGAAACGGGTCAGTGAAAGGAGATATGGGAAGATTCCAGATTTTCCTATTGCTTTCCTGACACCTTTGAGGCCTTGGGGTCAGTGGATTGGCACCAAAGCGGAGAATGAACGGCTGTAAATAAAATGAAGGAAGAGAGAGAGAGGGATGAATCCAGGGGCAGAAGGGGCAGGGGGTGGAGCTCATTCTTACTTTCTCTGCTTCTTCTCCAGGTCATGATTGCGGCTCTGCTGGCCCTCCAGGTGCAGTTTGGTGTCCTGCAGCTCGGCGGTCAGCCGCTGGCACTTCTTCTTCAGCTGCTGCACCGTGCGCTGGACCTCCTCGCTGTCCGCCTGCAGGTCGGTGAGCTGGAGGGAGGAGCACGGAGCCCGGGTGGGGGTCAGCCTCACAGCCCGGGGGCCGGCGGGACCAAGCATCGGGACAGGGCGCGGCAAAACATGCAACGTGTCTGTTCTCGCCACAGAGGTACCAGCAGACAGGAGGCAACAGGGTGTGGCTTCTAATGACTGGCTCCGAGAGAGCATTCAAGACAAAACTCACTATTCAATTTCCCGATGGCGAGGGCGGGGAGGTTGGTCAAATATGAAAAATATCAATCAGATTTAAACCAAGTTAATTAACCTCCATGCTGTCCACCAGCAGCCTATATCGGGGGACTACCAAGAGTGAAAGGGCCACAGGAGGCTTATGGTAGGTGCCCTACCCTTCTCTCCAGCTGTCTCTTATTCTGCTGCTCCACCTCCAGTTTGTCATCAAGCTCCTGCTGCAGCCTCTTCTTGGTGAACTCCGTCTCCCTGATGGCCCGCTCGTACTTCAGACGCCACTCGCCCCCTGAGAGAGACAGAGGGCAGGACATGAGCTTCGGAGGCGCTCCGCCCGCTGCAGGGAGACCCCGGGCTGGCGATGCCCGCCGGCGCCTGGGACCCACCCGAGTCGTCGTCGTCCAGCTCGCCGTTCAGTTCCGACGCCCTGATCAGCCGCGCCTCCATCACCTCCATCTCCATCGACTCCATCTGCTTCTTCATGGCATCAAACTTTGCCTGAAATCACACACAAGCCCTCAGATCCTCTGGGAAATAATGGGGCCATCTGTTAAAAGACATGCTCAGAGAAGCCTGCGTTGATACTCACATCATTTCTTCCTAATTAAGCAGTTTTATTTCAAATCAAAAATTTGTTGTCAGCCCACCTGTGGTCTCCTTCATGCAGGATTCATTAATAAACTCCCTCTACCTCCAGGTCCATGTTATCTGTCATTTCTAGCCAGTTAATGTAGACAGGGGGCAGGAGGACTTAACGAAATGTTTAGAATTCAGATAGTTGCCCTGTAACTATATTCACAGATTACAGATTTCACATAGCAAAGTGAATTATTTTGAAAGCTTGGTATTCACTGCCAAGGCATACTTCTTTAAAGAATATTCTGCTTTTAATCTGATACAATTAATTATAATACAGAGAGAGGGGGGTACACAATGAGCGCCTGCAGTATTCATGACACGACTGAATGAGGACTCTTTTGTTTCTTCGAAGACTACCACATGCCCAAACCAGGTACGCCCTCTGGTCCTCTGTCATTCTCAGCACAACACTTCCTGCTTCTCTTATACAGAAGTCAGAGGGCTGATTCTGTGTCCCAGATGCAGCACTAACGGCCATAAAGAGTTAATAGAGCTAGTTCAGAGTGATGCCGCTCACAAGTTGAGATGATCATACCTAGAGCAGTGGACAGTGGTGAGCTGTCCACCGGTCACAGCTGGAGCACATGTAGTGGACAGAGCGAGCGAGCCAGGGGGCAGTGTTGTCATGTGAACTGTCTGCTGGTCACAGCTGGAGCACGTGTGGTGGACAGAGCGAGCGAGAGAGCAGTGTTGTCATGTGAACTGTCCACCGGTCACTGGTCACAGCTGGGGGACGCACAGTGGACCATACGGGTGGACGAGTGCAGAAGCCTTACCTGCAGCTCCTTCATGTCCTTTTCCAGGCGCAGCCTGTCCGAGGTCTCCGACTCCAGGAGCTGGGATGCGGACTCCCCACTGTTGCGCTCGTCGGTGAGCTCCGAGGACAGCTCTGTGATCTGAGGAGGAGAGGGCAGGCCTTTGTGAGCCGCCATCCACAAAAAGCACATGCTCCACTGGCACAGAACAGGGACTATAGCTGCGTTTCCCAGAACAAGATGAAGAGCACCAGAGCTTAAAGAAATCTCCCGTGGCCTTAACAGGAGACCTGAGAGCGCAGCTGATCAGGAGCAGATTTGTGAAAAAGATCTTATCTGAATCATGTGGACTTTCCAGTTTCATTCATCCCTCCTAAAATCAAATGCAGCCATTCGCTCACTAGAGAAACATTTCATAGCAATGCATCCATAAGCACACTCCCACAATACAGCCAGTTATTTCAGAACAGGTTAAAGATGAAATTTTCAGATCCAAGAACAGAAGCCAGATATCAGTATTTTACACCCGACAGGAAATCTAAAACAATCAAAAAGATTTTCCAGCTTTTCTTAAGCTTTTTTTCCCCCAAGACCCTTTCTGGGGTTTGTCCACAGGTTTCCTTCAGGGGCAACATGGCAGTGTGATATCCTGGCTGTGCAAGAGGAGACAGCCTTTTAAAAACAGCCCAAATTCATCTTTCCAATTTGTAAAAAAAAAAAACAACAAAATACCACAGCTGTGTACCAGTAATGCTGTAAGAGAAAAGATGTCAGAAATGTTCTAAATGACAACATCTCACCGAAACACAGTGCCCTCCGCTAGTTTTGAGACAGTGAAGTTAAATGACTATTTTTGCTGTATACTCAAGCAATTCAGGTTTGAGATGAAAAGACGAAGATGAGGCAAAAGTACAGAATGTCACCTTTTATTTCTGGGTACTTCTGTGCTTATATCTTGTACAATTTCAGAATAACAGCACAGCAGAATAACAGATTTTGTGTTCAATCACCCCATTTCAGGTGAGCTTAAGTATTGGGACAAATTGACTTAAAAGTAAGTTGAAGAACTATAAAACTTACTATTTGGTCTCAAATCTTTTGCATGCATTAACTGCATCAAACCTGCAAACCCCTGACATCACCATCACTTTGTTCTTTTGAGATGCTTTACCAAACCTTTGCTGCAGGGCGGGGTTCTAACACCAGTCTCCTTTTCGGAAAGTTGAAATTGCTCGACTGGATGTTAATCAGAAGGCTTTTGCCTCATATACATATTTTCCTGTCAAATTTGAATTGCTTGAGTATACAGCAAGTATAGCAAATTTGACTTCACTGTCCCAATACTTCTGCAGGGCACTGTAGCTCTGCAATGTGACACTAAACAACTTCCTGAAAAAAAGCAACCTTAGAGCACAGGTTGCCACTCACTGACCAGCACCCTGTGCACAGAGTGCCAGCCAGGGTTGGCTTTTGCATTGCTCGTCTCTGCTGCAAATCCATCAGAACTGTGGTGACTATACGCAGATGGATCTAGACACCCCCCACCCTGCCAAGGGGCCAGTGGCCAGGGCTGTGGTCCTACCCTGCTCTCCAGTCGGTCAGAGTTCAGTCTGAGCTCGTTCCTCTCCTTCTCCACCTTCTCCAGCTTCGCCCGAAGCTGCTGAATCTCCTCCTGAAATGACAACAGGCACAACAACACACTTTAGATTTCAGAAAGGCAAAAGAAAAAAAACGTGAATCATTGGTTAATCTGAATAAAGATGAAATGATGAAAAGTAAATAAAAATATAAAAAAACAAACTGCTCAAAAGCCTTGTCTCTTGCCTAGCACTGCCAAACGCATGCCCTTGTGCAGTTGTGCTCTGACCTCACCTCTGTTCATCTAACAGGTTGCTCTGGAACAGCTGAGCCTCCTGTACGGACACTAATCAAAGCTCCCAATCCACACTGAAACTTTCTTTCTAGTTAGCAAATCGCTGCATGGTTCGAACCACGCGGAGCCTGTATATTTCATTTTCCCCACAGAGACGCAAAAGCAGAAAAACGAATTTGCAATATTACTGCGCAAGTAATAGATGCATCCCCCTTGTGCAACACATCCCCAGCAAACATGAAGGAATAACTGAAATGAGTAATTTGTGCAGTTTGCTTAGATTACAGTGAATCTCCAACCCCCACAACATATTTAAATGTGTATTTAACCCGTGCTTTAAAACTCAACTAGAACTGTGAGCACAATTTTAGTTTTGCTTGGAATATCCAAACAAACATAAACCGACAGGATGCTGTAGCCGAGCTTAAACGTCAAACGTCATTTGAAAAAGAGGGGCTCACTAAGGCCACTTCAAGCAGAGGAAAAAAAAAAATCCATATACTGTTAAAGCTGCTTTTGATACTATGGATGTGAGGCAGGTAAAAGTCACATCACACTGAATCCTCAGGTTATAAAGTGTCGTAGAAGAAAAGATTTGATCAACTTTGGATCTATGTTGTTCACTTAAGTCAACACATTCCTACAGACAGTCCTGGAAGGCTGCAGGTTCTGCAAATCAAAACATTGAACAAACTACAGCCTTCAGAGGTCAAAATCGAACACTACACCGCCTTCACAGAGCCTGAGCTACACGAGCTGTTGCGCGCGGTCTGCTTGCTTGGCTCAGCCATGGACACTCACGTCTTTGCCTCGGATCTGCTCCTCGGTGAGCTGGACCTCGATCAGCGGCCGCACCGTGGTGAAGAGCTTCCACCAGGGCCAGCCCTTCACCCCCCGGTTCTTCTTGATGTTCTTCTGGATGCAGCGGATGGCCAGGTCCTGGATCTGAAAAGCACAGGGGTGGGCTGTGCCTGTTAGTGTCCCGTGTAAACGCCCAGCCCAGTGTCCAGGTTGGCTGGGTTAGCATGTTGCGGCTCAAACTACCACTTCTGTGTCGGGTGGACATCAACAAATCCGAGAAGCCTTCAAGCGTCTTTTCTTTCAGAGGGGGATGGAGGCGATGGTACCGAGCAGCGAGGAAATGAATGAACTAGTTTTCATTTCGCTTCTGTTAAGATATACTGGTCATCACAGTGGCTTTCTATCCTAGCCCTAAAGGGGAATGCTAATCCACCACACACTGTGGCCAGGGAACGTCTTGGACAGTCTCTGCCTGGGATCACTCTGGCGGGTGTATATCAAAAAGAGTCCCAGTCAAGTACACGATCTTTAGGCTACTTTACTTCATGCCAAGCTAGAGGCAGACAATCCCTCCCTAGACTGGACAAAGCAAAATACGTGTAAACACCAGTGCTCACCCTACGTACCCTCATCTCAAGTGAGGAAGCTGCAAGCAAGAACTAATCTGCTGCAGCTACTTTTTCACTTCTCATCTTCGCCAGAGATATCGGAGTCTCATTCACAGGGGTTGAAATGAGCAGGTGGGGTCAGAAAAGCTGTGCAAACAGCAGTTCATTCCTGAAGCAAAGTGGCACTAACTGAACCTCACCTCCCTTCTCCCCGCATGGCGCTCTGTAAAAGTCTGTAATTACATTCAGGAGGTTTTCGTGACCTCCAGCACCTCAGTTTCCACATCTGCAGGGAAGCAAGAGCACGAAAACCAAGGGCCAGATGGCAGAAAAATGGAACTTTGCTTGTACCACAATTGGCAGGCGTAAGAGCTGCCCAGACGCCCAGACGGCCAAGGAAGTGGACCCTGTGCAGCCACCAACAGACTAGGAACAAAAAGTAACAACCAAAAGACTAAATCCCAAAACTCCAAGAACAGGCCGAGATCAGAAACCAGGAAGGCAAGACAAGGAAAAACAACACAAAGAGCAGAGGAACAGAAACTCAGAGGAGAAAACAATGGAAGAAAGAAGAACAATTGGACCAGAGAAAGGAACAAGGAAAGAATCAGGAAAAACAGGGAACTAACTGTCCAGAGCGCAAACAAGAGGTTACAAGCCTGAGTGCTCAATATATAGAGCTGGGGAAGGGTAGTGTGAAATCCTAGGTACACTGGTCACTCTGTGATTGGCTAAGACTTAACGCAGCCGTCTGCATAGTCTGCGCCTCTGTTGCGCAGCCAAGCCAGCAACCAGTGCTGGAGGCTCCCTCTGCTGGTGAGGAGGTAGAACTGACAGTGGCAGGGTGCTGGAGTGTTGACACAGAACAAGGGACATCCTGGATACACCAGCCCAGGATTGACAGACAAGCTCAGGGAGTGAGGAATTCTGGACAGCCCACAATGCAGCCCCCCTGTTTTAATTGCAGAGGCAGGATCATTAACAAGGGCTGCCCTCTCTCGGAGCTAATGGGCGTCAGACACCATGACAACGTAAGTGACAGGCAGCACAAAGCATCCTTTCATTTAACCCCGAACCGCTTTCACAATTAAATCCACCAAAAACCGTATTAAATAAAGTGCTCTCGTTTTTAAAAATAGCTTGGCTGAGATTTTGAGAGTATGCCTAGCCTTTAAAAAAAATACTTGTTCAGAATATGTGGAAAAAGCTCATCAAACTAATGGGAATGGTTTAAAATACTTTTCAGTTTGAAAACCTGTGAAAGATGTGCACCTTACACTTGGTGAAGTTAATCACATGCAATTTTGCACACCATGGCTAACATGCTATACGTACTGTATGGGTGCAGACGAATGTGTGTCTCGTCAGGCAAAGAAATACACGTCAATCTCCCTGAAAAGACTCTACCAGATTTCTGGAAGCTGTGCAAAGACAGTTAAGCAGAGACAGTAAGTGTTCCAAGACCAGCAACTCCGGAGTGTAATTAAATCAAACATCAAGAAATCTTGGCAGCCAGTTAACAGTTTTATAAGATTTCCATGTCGCTTGTACACAAGCATCTCCAATAACAGAAGATTATCTGGAAACCCAATTAAAGCTGCACAATTCACAGCATCAAGTGGATTCAGCGTACAATGCAGAACAAACCTGTGTACCGATTACAATTCGTCACACTACGAAAGCTTTAACATGCTGCAAAATTCAAGAGAGTCTTTCAATGGTGCTGCAGACAATATTCGCCAGAGTTAATTTGTGAATTCTGCCCAGAACGATTAAGGTAAAACAACAGATTACACAGTACGCAGGGCAATAAAAACAAAACGAGAGAATTCCTAATTAAAATCCCAGCTCCTGCAACAAGCCTTTGTGTTTTGATACAGTAAGCAGCGAGACAGACAACAGTGTGATTATCGCAGCTCTTCCATCGAGGAAACAACAGCGCAGAGATGATTACTGAGAAAGCCACGCTGCTCTAATCTCAGGAAACTCTGCTTAAGGTTCCAGTCACAGTTTTCAGCGAGAGCTCTAAACACAGAAAACCCCTCTTTCCTTTAGGGGCAGCTCCTGCAGGTTGTCACACACTAACACAGACATCCCCAAATCATTTAACAAGCGAGGCCAGCCAGGCAAGGAAACTCCTCCCGTTATCCACCTGTTTTCTCCCAGCACGGAGGTTTATCTTAAGGCAATAACTTAATTAGACACACACCCGTCTGCCGTATCAGTTAATTCCCAATGAACATCAGCAGCACAGCAATCACCTGTCAAAGAGCAATTCGTTTTCCGTATTTATTTTAATTCCCAAGGCAAAGTTGACCCATGATGAGATCATCATTCCTGGTTAGAGAAACCTCTTCTGATACAATATACACACTCCAGGACGACAGCAAGGCACTGCAAGCCATATTTAGACAAGCTGTTTGCAGCATCAAGTGTTTGGCACAGTATCCCTTTCTCATTAAAACAAACATCAGAACTGTTTTCTGCAGAATCGAGTGAAGTTCTGTAAGGTTTCCAACACGAGCCATTCCCTACTGCTTGTCAAAAACTTTTTTTTAAAAAAACCCAGAGGATGTTAATGCTGTCACTGCAGTACACTGCAAATCTAATATCAGCTAGATTAATTCCTGTCCGTCATTAGCATCTCCTATTAAGAAAAGAATACTTCACAATTATGATGGAAAGGGACCCTAATCAAGTTTCATGACCGGCAAGGTCTAGATCGGGAATGATTTCCATTACTCAATCATTATCATAAGGGGGGACTCTGGGGACAGAGATGCTTGGATAATCTCTTTCCAAACGGGAGGAGGAGAAAGGGCACAAGGAGAGTTTCTGATCACGTAGGAATAAACCTTCCACTCCACGGCATTCGTCTAATTAGGCGAAGCCTATGGACTGTATTGGAAAAACGCCACATGCAAATTTGCCCTTCGACTGATTAGCCACACATAGCCATAGACAACCATAGTCTCAGCCAGCGTTAATTGATAACTAACCTCTTATCACTACAGCGACTTCCATTTACAAAGCAGTTGCTAGGTTAAAAAATATGCATGCACAATATAGGATTCATTTTAAACTTTGATTTGATCCTTAAAACTTTTAGACATTTCCGGAATGCATTCGTTTCTAAACGGTCCTTATGTGCTTGCATGCGTCCTGTAATGGACTGATGCCCCATCAGGAGTCCCACCTTGTGCCCTAAGCTTCCAGGACAGTCTCTGGTCTGCCCCAGCCCTTACCAGCCACAGGCAGTTTTCTGATAACAGAAGGATGGATGTTCGTAGGTATCAAAGCATACGAGAAGTGCACGCTTCCATAATGGCAGATTAGGAAAAGGAGCCAAGTAAACAATGAGCCAATTAAAATGAACAGATGAAAAGAAAACTAACCTAATTTTACCAGTGTAAAATACTGAAGTTTCTAGGACACCGTAACTAACACAAAAGTGAGAGAGCACTTGGAATGACAATTCCCAAATTGATTAGCTGTACCTCCAAAAACCCTACTGTGCTGACAACCCAGCTGCCTCTTCTCTCTCCCTCCAGTCTGCTCTGTACTAAACAGCAGCTGTTGCTGCACCCAGCCAGAAAACTACAAAGAACGTCTTTTTACAGTCCAGGGAAGGTTCTTTTCTTTTTCAAGCATGTATTGTTTGAAGTGCTCCTTAAAAATGTCAATAGAACAAAACATAAAAAAAGAAATAGTACTTACACAGAGAAGCAAGGCACCAACCTTAAAGCCAGCCAAAGGCTTTAAAAACCAGGATGGCCAGAGATATCAGAGTGGGACAGAACTGACACGAAGGATGTACCAAAGAAAAACAGCCAATCCACAAGGAGGGCGAGTTAGGAAGAGAGCCCCAACGCCTTGTACTCGTTTAGCTACCTTTGACCATTTTAGGGTAAAAGACTTGTCAGGAAGGGAAGAGTGGGTGCCATACTGTAAACTGAGCCGCGGAGCTCAGCATGGGGTGGGCTTCCTCCCTTGTGATTAAGTGCTGTAATTATTACGCAACTCCAGACGGGCTCTCCAGTCTCTGGCGGAGCAAGAGCTGGCCGGCCGCGGGCGGGCCGGGCACCGTGACCGCGGTCATGGACCGGGCAGAACCCGAGCCCAGGGGAGAGGTCGAAGGGAGAGCGCACAGGGAGAAAAAAGTCAACGGGGGGAACGAACCGAGACAGAAAAGAGGTATAGTGCAAGGAAGGTCATTGTGGTTTTCATAAGGAATCCAATGAGCTGAAAATGTTCTTGTAGCTGAACAGGGTGACATGTCTGACAACAGGAGATAGTCTACAGCAGGGAAGGCCACCCCTGGTTCTGCAGGACTACAGCCCAGGGGGTCATCCTTTCATCATCGGTTTCTAGAAAACTGCAACAAGCTTTGACCACTTAAGCATGTGATTTCCTCAATCAAGCAGTTTAGCAAGCATTTGAAATGGAAATGCCAGCCCCCCCGCAGCTCTCAGAGACAACAGCCGGCCACTTCTGATTGAACTAATTAACTTACTCTATTAATTGAAGCTCACATGCTCCAAGTCATTACCAAGTCATGACTGAGGGGCGAGTACTGGATTGTTGGCCAACGCCAGCCCCTGAGAAAGGGCTCTCACAAAGAGACGAGACTGTGAAGACTCCAAACCAGGTCTAGCCGGGAAAAAGCAACACTTAGGATAAAAGCTAATAATTCTTCTAGAAAGGGAAGAATTTCTCTCTTACGCCTCCCCGTGCCAGCGGGGGGCCCATCAGCACCAGCAGCCCAGCCCTAAGACGCACAGCGCCATCCCAGAAGGGCAGCCTCACCTTCCTCTTCTTGAAAGCCTGCCTGGCCAGGTATCCCCTGCAGGCTGCCTGAAACAGCGTGATGTTCCGTCTGGTCTGCTCATCTCTCTGCTCCTCCAGTTTCGCCAGGGTGCCCGCCCTGAAGAACACCTGGCAGGGGGAAACACCTGTTAAATCACCGGCGGACCACTGATTAACCTTTCCCTTAATATTAAAATCATATTTCAAGAGTCTCGAGACAAATTCTCTTTTGCAAGGATGTTCTTGGCATGGAGGGACTGGATTACATTAGATTATGAACAAGCAAAAAGAATCGATCCAATGCAGCTGTTCCACATATTGCTTAAAACAAATCTGAAAAGGTTATTTAGTAGATCTGGCTGAAGAGGGAGTGTTGCTCCTGATAAGAAGACCTATGTTTTTCCACCTTCAAGAGCAATCTGCCAGATCTAATTAAACTAGTAATTAGTGTATTACCATTACGTCTGCAGTAATGCACCCACATTCTAAAACTCTTTTGCTCAGAAGCTAAAGCAGTGTCAGTGTACTCAGAAAGTTTTTAAGCAGTAATGAGAAAATGTATTCAAAGGGAGGCTTAAGCCTTTTCATATTTTATCACTGAGCTCTTGAAGTTAGATGAAACATGAAATTTTGCTCTGTTTTTTTTATAGTAGTGACTCAGTGTGCATGGACATTCTGGTTGAAGCAGATCCTTAATCAGTGTCTTTTAATTTCTTAATTAAAGCTCAAAGAGATGAGCAGGTTCTGTATCTAATGATTAAAGGGTAGAAATGGTCTTGGAAGCTTTGCACACATTTATTTTTTGAATAGCCCCTCTCCAAGTGGCTACATTATTTCATGTAAGACTTTAGCAGTGAAGAGCAGTAAAAGCCTATTTCATCACCGCATATTCAGATTGATGTAGCATGATTTAGGGGGGCTGCCTGCAGCCTGCCCCAAGCCCAGGATGATGGATAATGATGGACAAGACATCTATCTGAGACTTGGAGAGCAGCTTACAGCACTTAGCAAATTAGAAGAATCTCCAGTGAAAGATTGAGGCCTCTGTTGGAGGAAATGCGGAGGAAAAAGACATTTTTGCTTTCCTGGCTCCAAGCAAAGATTTAAGAGCTTCTCTCTGGAGGAGTGCGCAATAAATTCAGTTTTTTAATCACAGCAGGTAACATATGTCTAAAATGTGACAAGCAAGTTTAGCCGTTCCAGCCATGTTGTGAAATTAAACTCCACCAAGAAAAACAACACTTTGCAAAAGTTCTTTTCTAGTTCAGCCAGCACGAGCCCCACCCCTCTTCCACTTGTTACGGGTTTTCGGAAAAATGCTGAGCAATGCTGAAAGAGCTGGTGGCATTATCATCACACACACGGGCCCCTTCCCCTCCCCATCCTCCCACGTTCAAGTTGCGGCACAGGGATAAAGCAAAAGGGGGAGAAAAAAAATAAAGCTGCTTTGTTTCTCGGAGCGGTGCAGAGATCAAGTGGACTTGAGCGGAGAAAAGACATTCTGCCGGCGGCACTCTCCCCTCCCTCCCCCCCCCACTCTCAAGTTCTGCCAACACGGATCCAAGAGCATCTCTCATGCCTAGCGCCTGAGCAATCACAGGCACACGCAGAAACATCGGCGAAACGCATCGGAACAGGTAAAGAATTATTCCATGCTGAATAGGAAAGAGAAGAGACATGACGTTTCGGCTGAGGAGCCTTCTTCAGGTTTGAGGCCGACGCAGCTGCTTACCTGAACTTCGACGAAATGCATCTTCTAGAACTGAAGATCATAAAGGCAGTAAACAAGTTCCTAGCCGGTTAGATGCGATTTAATTTCGGATTGGTAATTCAAGGTCAATTCAAGACCTAGGGGTCTTAGGCTGCTGCCTTGCAGAAAGAGCAGATCCCTTAAGACAACTGTCACTGCAGTCACCTTTCCTCGTCCACATCTCAAATACCAGCTGAGATGTAAAGGCATGGCCTTTATCCCCCAAAAAACTTTTGTTTGGGTCGATCAAGAACTTCCAAAATGTTTCTGAAGTGAGAACAGTTAAAAGGTTGAAATCAATCCTATAAAGTCAATGAAAGTTTCAGTAATGTTGCAGAGCCCAGCTGGAATCAAAGCTGGCAGGTGGTGGTGGGCCCAAGACCAAGGCTGGGAATCCCTGGGAATCTTCTAGTTGATTTCTGAATGACTCGGTTGAATCTTTAATTAGCAGAAGCCAAGACATTTTTGAGATTTCTCATTGGGAAAGCCACCTGTTCGTCCTACAAAACCCTTCAGTCCCAGGTACTCACCCTGCTCAGGCCCATGTGATAGTTGCTGCTCTCCAAATCCAGCGACTCCAGCAGTTCCTCCACGGCCTAAAAACAGATCAAGACCTGTGAGTCGAACGCAGAGCTGTCTTTTGTCGGGGAAGAAAACTACCAGTACAGGCGTGGTGCTCAGATGGCAACCATATGATAACCGTCCAAAGACACCAGCCTCTGAAATATCACAAAAACATGTTCAACACAATTGTATTTAGAGAAAAACTTATTTACTTCTTTTTCAATCCAGTTTTTCACCAAAATTAACAATTCTGAGCTTCCAAACAACCGTATTTGTTTTCAAAGAAAGTTCCCCCCCCATTTCTGAAGCACGGCCCCCCTCTTTATCTGTTCATTTCTGACAAGTTATGTTGTCTATAAATCAAGAGACCCATCACGCTGCTTACTTTGTGAGCTGAGCTACAAATGGAACCTCCAAGATTAACTACACCAGTGGCACAGCCCCTCTCTCTCTGTAGTAAACAGGTTGGCGGGGGAATTCAGCATGAAGTGCCCCCATCTATGTCACACTATAAAAGGACATGGCAGGCCAGCCTCACTGAGAGCTTTGTTTTCTTCAGTTTCCAGAGAGACCTCTCCTTAGATGCTGACGCATGGATCACTTCTTTCTTTCTCCCTCTGCCTCTCCTCCCCCTTTTCTGTATCATTTTCCACTGCATCGCTTACAGAGTTACTCCTGTTTAGCATTTCGACAAGCCCCTCGCTGTTTTCCATGTTAACCTCCTCCATGCCAACTCTTTCACTACAGAAGAAAGGGCACAGATGCCAGCTGGCACAGTCTGAAGTGCAATCTGGGAAATCCAGCTAGATGTTTTTTAAAAAGCCAATTTATTTCAAAACATACCTAGTTTTTTTTTTATACGTTTTTATAATGGTCTTCCACAGTCGTCAATGTTTTTAACTCCCCTGCCTACTTCATAGGGACTAATAGGGCCTCCTAGCTCGCCGTCCTCTCCTATCACTGCAGTAAAACGCAGGCTGTCCTCCCCGGAGCCATTCACTCAAGCTACACCAGACTAATTGTCCAAGAGATTAAACAAAAGAAAGTTGGAAGCACACAAATGTGATTAATGATCACTTTAAAGTTCAAGGCTTTTGTGAGTTCTAAGCACTGGAACAATTAAAGCCTTATCCCCGTCTACAAGTGTTGTTAATCTGAATTGGAAATGTTATTTAATAAACCGAGGATTCAGTATATAAAGTCATCATAGCCCTGATTAGTGGGGGTTTATTGCTCTGTCATTGTAGCACCGATGGGAAAACAAGAGTGCTCTTCAGTTCATTAATCAGCAAAACAGCTTTCTGCTATCAGCATATTCATAATTATAAACAGGAGGACGAACACGGCTAATAAAGGGGCCTCTAATTGTGCAGGAAGTGAGGAGACGGGAGACTCACCCTCTTCTCGTCCGTGACGATGTAGTTGCGCCCGTGTTTTTTGGTCAGGTGAGGCGCCAGCACATCAAAGCGGCGGCGGAACTCCGAGAAGACCATGTGATCAGGGTAACCTGGGCAGCGGGGCCACAGACACACCCATTATGCTTTGAACACCCTTTCCTGCTTCTGTGCGATCCTATCATTTCACCAGGCCTATATTAGTCCCAGTACAAGAGTCCCAAACTACAAATCTGACCTAATTTTAGGTCTAACTCATTATTTCCAATCCCATTTTGGACTGCGTCAACGTCAATACCTCCACCCACATCCCACCATGACTGGAACTCTAAGCACTAAGAGCTCTTACTCTACTGAGCCCCTGGGCCAGTCCCCAAGCCCCAGAACAACTCCTACCTTGCCTGTAAATCCGCAGGGCATCCAGCAGCTTGGAGCCGCGCAGCTGAGCACGCAACAGGGGCACGTCCAGCTGCATGAGGCCCGGGTCGCAGTTCTCGCCATGGGGCTCCCCTTCCCCTGCCCTGGGGGATGGCCCGCCCAGTACCCTCACTTCCCCGCTCAGCGCGTCAGCCTTGGGCAGCAGGCAGTGGACAAAGTGCACCTTGGACCTCCTGACTGTGTCCACCAGAGCATCCTACACGACACATTCGGTTACAGTTCAAGGGTACACACCAATACGATAATCACAATTACATGCATGCTCCCACCAATTACCTTCCTCAACAAAAGCAAAACCCTCCATTTTTGAGCACTCTCATGCAGGGCGTTGCAATGGAGACATTCCTTTTGTTTGGGCAAAATCTCATGAGGACACTGCAGATGTGGACAGATGCAGAGCCTCCGACTCACCACTTGCAGTTTGATCTGGATGCAGAGCGATTTCTTCTTCACCGCCGCAACGCCTGTGGTGAAGGTCTTCCTCATGCTGGTGGCCCTCCGCAGGACCAGCTGCGACCCGCCCTCCAGGCCCGCGATGGAGCCCGACAGCACCGTGGCACTGCCGGTCCTCCCCATGAACAGGCTGCTGATGTTCTTCCTTCGAGAAGGAAAGCGGAGGAGGGAGAGAGAGCTTTGAGAGAGGGCAAGCCAAATATTGGCACACTTTGATTGCATTTTCGGGATCCTTGTATGCCTGGACCTTTGTGCAACATTACATGTCGCCAGGCTGTGGATAGATTCTATATGAACCAGAACAATTATTACTTCTGGGAGTCCTGCAGCAGAGTGACGGCATTCTGGGAGGCAGGGTTCTGCTTGGCATGGCTCAGCCAAGCGCGGGTATCATACTCCACCCAGTCAGTGCCATGGCTGTGACCCAACAGGAAGTGAAGCGACTTCTCGCTCTTCATCAGCGAAGACGGACCTGAAAAGAGATGGATGAGGCAGACAGGAGTGAGGCAATGAAGTAAGGTAAACAAACTGTTTACAGTAAACAAACTTATTGTTTACTGTTCAAACAAGGTGGATCGTTCTTGATGCTCACTTATGACTATTTCAGTTTCCTGTATTCAAATGCATCTTTGTAAGTCATGTTCAGATTAGTCATTGGGATATTTGCCAACACTAACTCAGGTGATGCACACCTGAGGAACACAGACAGACAGACAGGTATTAAACAGTACTGGTGCTGCTGTACTGCTGCTGGATGTTGCCCCATCTCCCTCTCACCTTTGCCGTCTCCCTCCGGTGGGCCGTAGTAGCTGAAGAGCCTCTCCAGCAGTGTCTCCTCGGAGCCCCCAGGCTGCAGGGCCTCCTCCTCCATCAGCCACAGGAGACCCCTCGCCTCGTCTGTCCGGGCCAGGGTCCGCACCTGGCACACACAAGCCCTGCTCAAGAACCACTGTCGCCACACTCCTCCTCCCCCCTACCCACAAATAACTCTGCTTTTTCTGCATGGCTTGCAAATCGCCTTGCGACGACGAAGAAGGCTGATATTTATATTAACTAGTGGATGCCCTATAGGGGAATCTTTTGGAGAGAGCTCATTTTAACCCGACGGGCCGGGGACGCAGGAATATCGAAGCCGTTGATCCTTATCAGAAAAAACATGGTGAATGCCTTGACAGACCGAGGGAGAGCTCAGGGAGTCTGACAATCCAGCTGTACTGCTTACTCGGAGAGTTAGAGAAGTCGAAGCTGCAGCCCTTAGATCAGACTCTGACAGGACTCTTGCTCAGACTCGCCGATTGTGGACTGACACAGTCCCATCACACAGGGGCTGATGCACAGCGACACATCTCAGCTGCGAAAAAGACTCACCTGCGAATTAACTCGTGCATCTTGTTCACTTAGTGTATTCACTCCTTTTTCTGACTTTGAATATACTGCAACACTCCGGAGATGCTATCTTCCTGTAATGCTTGTGTTGCTGGATCCTTGAATAAATATCCATGTAGCACATTACAGGCAGGCTAAGCTGTATTTTTGTTGGCAGATAAGCAAATTTTCATTTGTCATTATGTCCAGCTGTATGAATGGGCCTCCAGGCTATCTCAAGAGTACAACAGTAGCTTCCCACCTGGCATAGAAACCTCCAACCTTTCAGTCCAGAGTCCACAACAGTCCATTCTGCAGCCTATATGCAAACCCTTTAACCCTTTAACCCTGTCTCAAACACCCATTTACATCATATAGGGTTTCACTGCCTGTACAATTTTGCTTTACCCATGCGTCGCCTTGAATAAACAAATTAAAGATCCATCAGATTTTTGTTTTTTTAAATAAAGCAAAACAAAAGAAGCTTCATTAAACACTTGATTGCCATGTTTTGAAAAAACAAAACGCAACACCCATAGCTTTGTCATTAGTGGGTAATGTTAAAATAAGTGCTCAAAGGCAGTCAAAAATTCATAAACTTGACATTCGGGCTGTCCACTTAAGCCATTAATGATAGTAATGGTCTGTGTGGAATTTCTGTCTCTTTCTTTTATGTAATACTGAGCTCAGTTTTTGTGCAAGTCTTAACGTCTCAGGGGAAAGTTTAAAAACGTGCACTGTGCTGTCAGTTGCCTAGAGATAGTTAAATCGCATCAGTGTCTAGTATGACACCAATAGGGCACTCTGTTCCAATCAATCTACCTACCGACAAGTTCTTTGCACTGTGGGATTCATACACTAGTCCTAAATGGTCTTGTGGATTCGTGGTCCAAAATCGTCCTTGATCATTGGGGTATTTTCCAATACTTATTCAGTAAATGCTTCATGAAAACGCAGACAAGAACTTATTAAAAGGGGACTTGTAAGTCCTGGTGCTGATCGATGCTGGATGTACACATTACATGAGCACACAGTTTATCTCTTTGTATTCAACATTTTAAACATGGAAACATGGCCCTGTTAGGAGTTCTAACCCATCAGAGCATGCAAAAATCTTTAATAACAGTCTAAAGAGTTGCTAACCTTGAAGGTCATCTTTGGGATGTTTCAGTCCCAGTGAATATTCACAGAACAGATTATTTGTTGTACACATGCTGATAAACCAGAGAGCTTTATCTTATCACAATACAAAGAGGAGTTGTGGAATGAATTATAGAATAAGGGCAACTGCATTGTCTTGCCTGATTTAACAAAATGCCACCTGAATCAATTTTTCACTATACCTACAGACTTCAGTATAACAGCCAGTCAGCGTGGCTAAGATCTCTATTTCAAGTTTGAAAGCGGAGCGTGTACTTCAGATGCACTAAACCTGGATTTAGTCTAAACAGGAACAGAAGCTGGTTTTCACTCACGTCTCAGGAAATTACGAGAAAGAAAATCATTCTCAACACGTTGCTGTACCCATGCAAGTTTAGCAGCTGGAGCAGCGAAATCAGAAGCTTTAACTAGAAAAAAAACTTGGGAAGCATGGAAAACTTATTTACACATATGGTACTGAATCAACAGCTCTGACAAGCTGAAGTGCACGGCCAAACCTTAACTGAAGGCCACAGCAGCTGAAGGATAAGTTCAGTTTGAGGCAAAACCTCCAAAGCTGTTTTAATGCCACAAGGACAGAATGGTAAGATTAGACAAGAGTGTGATGACAACCACCATTATTCAGCACTGTTCTATGCTCATGTTTTAATGACAGTTTTGCTTTATAGCTGTCAGGCAACTTGTGTTTTCCCCTACTCTCTTACATCAAGAACGCTATTAATGCAGTACTTAGAATAATTTGATCTTTCATGGAACAGACAGACACTCTGGCACATCCAAGGACAAAGCACGTCCACCATTAAATTGCCTTTAAAGATGTGGCTAGGGGAATGTGCAAGGAACAAAGCAAGAAACACCTTAATATTCTGCAAATCAGACCCACGCAGGGTTCCGCCCTGCCCAGAGACATGAGGTGCACGTGTCTGGAATATTTTACAGGAAGCACAGGAGTGGATTACAAGAGGCTGGACAGGTGGATCTGGATGACAGCCGAAGGGGTGGAGACCCAGAGGATCTGAGCAAACAAAGTGCCCTCCCTCCCTGTTTCTGTGGTGCGGGCAAGCAGGTGTGACTGGCAGAAAGGAGCTGCACAGAAGCTAAAAAACAGGCATGAAAGAAACTCTCTTACCAGAGCCTGATGTGATGTTTGGTCTACAGCAGCTACAGACAGTGATGTGCTGGACTCTATGTCATCTAATGCAAGCTCTATGTTTTCCTAGATGGGGACAGAAGGTTGATTAGTACCTAAAATCGCATTATAATTTGAAGTTATGGCTCTGGCTGAAGTCAGTCTATTAGTCATTGGTAAATCATTTTTATTATTTAACTACAATTCCCTAGTTATCAAAAGGTTTTTTCTTCAGCGGGGGAATGAATGCCTATTAAGATGAATCGCATGAAAAAAGAAATTTAGAATATTTTGTTTGAGGGGGGATCCCTCATTAAAATTAAAAGCTGAGTCTTGGTATTTAAGCTGTCCTTACCCGCTGAACAGCGAAAAACATTTTGATAAATGGGACACCAAAAAACAATTTAATTTTCACACAGAAAACAAATGATTGTCAAATTAACAAATTACAGTTCATATGATTATTATTTCATTGTTATGAACATGTACTGAGATCAAGTATGATTTATTTTATTTTTTACAGAGACAGTAGACAGTCAAATTAAAAAGCTTTTGCGAAGTTTATACTTTTTCTGCACCAGTATAGCTGTCAGGTGTATAAGACTTGTCGGCTGTTCTACTCTGTAAAGAGGGAAAAGACGTTTAAAGATTTCATCCATGTATCTGGTTACACATCAGCCAATGACACTTTTTGAGATTCATGCAATGATTATCATATTTTACAGACAGGGGGATTCAGTACACTGACTGATCTGTATGCATTAGCTGCCACCTTGTGAAAAAAATCAACTGCACTAGTTAGGATGGGAATTCTTTAACACAATCATGTTTTCAGGTGTTACGACGTTCAATTCATCTGTCTCAAGCTCACATCTCTCTTAGTTGAAATCAGTGGCACTTGGTTGCATAACAGCCGACGCTCAACAACTAAAAGAATGGGACAACCTCTTTCCCAGTCAGTTGCTTCCCTCGTCTTCCACTTGAGATCCAATGGGGATATCATGAATAATCATTTCATGCAGTCCACGTCTGCACAATCCTGGGCAGCACCCCAGGCATGGCAATTCGACAATGGCTTTTTCTGGACCGGCTTTCAAAATGAGATGGCGTTAACTTCCGTTTAACAGATTCCAGGCCTGGCTCTGCGCATAGGGCCCTGTAACATCAGTAGCACAGCAGCTGATGGAGTGAGATCATCGGAGATGGAAAAGCAAAGGCCTGCCTCAGCAGCCCGAGAGCAGTGAGGTGGCTCTCTAGGAATACGGTCTGGAAAAGTATGCTTCAGCTCAATGGGGGGTAGGGCTGCCTTTGACCACTTCTTTACACAGCAGCATGAATTCATCACATTAACTCCGACAATGTGCAAAGCGTGGCCAGTTCTCTTATTATGATGGCAACTTGAAACACTATTGGATGCATACTCATGTGCCTCACAGGTGCCACGACTAGGCACCTACAGGAATTTTACCAAAACAGGTTTGTATCTAAAGAGATCTGCTCCCTGGTCAGCAAGGGATGGCAAGTAATATAGCAGTCTCCTCCAGAGTAGACAATACCATGTGCGCCTGTCCATTCTCCTGCATTGCACGGGGCAATAGGATCACGCTCTGGGGAGGAAAACGGAACCGCTTCCTTGTGTGAGCCCAGTGGCTGCACTTTCAGCAACGGAGTCACTCGAATAGATAAAAAAGGTGGGAAGACAGTTTTTCGTTACTACGCCAGGTGGGACTCACCAGCAGGGCAAAAGCCCTCCTGGGCTGCAGGGGAGCCACGGACAGAGCTGCCCGTCGTTGTCACCTAGTTTCTGGGGCATGTGCCAAGAGGGGGCGGCTGAAGGGTAAGGTTACTTCACAATGGAAACACATACCACGAATTCCCTCCATAGCTCATCATCACTGCTGGGGAACGTCCTCCGGGCCTCTTTGACCTGGTGCCCATTCTATTTGTCTAACGGTGGGGCACATCATCACAATGGGCCATTGCCACACCAGGGCAGGCAGTGACAGCTGTGCGTAGGAGACAGACTCCAACAGCACTAAAGCTCTATTGTGAGAAAGAGCGTTCCATTGTGCTTCACTAGTGAGCCCACATGGCTCAGGGAATCTAGCATAATTAGCCTAGACCCAGGAAGGAGCAAACTCCCTTTCCTCAAGTCCCAGATCGGGATTTAACCTCCAGGGGAACCTGAAAACGGCAGGGCAGCGGGCAGCCGATACCTCCTTGTATCGCTCCATCTCCTGGACGAACGTGCGCTCGTGGAACAGCGTCTGCAGCCGCTCCTGGGCGTAGTTGTGGCAGAGCTCCTCGAAGGTGGCGCCGCGCTCCTGCTTGGCCAGCCGGGGGTTCTGGAAGCCGGGGGTGTCCACGATCATCACCGAGCACAGGGAGTGCTGAGTGGACTTCAGGGCTCTGAGAGAGCAGGGGCAGAGACGCCGAGAGACGAGTAAGAAGCAAGGCGGCGGAGGGGGAGACGGGGAGACGATTGCGATCATGACATCAACATTTACATAAGAAGGCAAGAAAAAAAGGACATCCTTGGGGATAATGACTAAAATTTCCATTTCACCGCTTCGCCTAAGACGGCACTCATACATATATATATATAAACGCGCATTCAGCACACAGATGCAATAGGACTAATAAAAACGTCTGGGAAACAGGAAATGAAGAAAGATGTTCCGCGATTTATATACCTCAGAAAGGAGTTGAGATATTCCCTGAGGTTATCGGGAACATAATAAAAGTCAGCTAGTGCCAAACGAGAGAAACTGTGCCGTTCGCAAGTTATATGAAACAGAGGGAAACTAAGACTCTTTTTAACCCAAGCATGAGATCGCCGGTTTTGGTTTTTCTATCTTCAGAGCCTCCTGAGCACACAGCGGAAGAACGAAATACCACTTTAACGGGGGGAAAAAAAGCAACTGCTCACTGACCGGTTGACGAGTGAAATGAGGAGAGTGAAGAGCTCCGAGTACAGGCCTGAGACCATGGCCTCCAAACACTCCAGCGCTGTTATTTTGGGTCCTGGGGGGAGAGAAACATAATTCCGGGACAAATATGAAATGATCACAAGCAACACTGGGAAGATCACATGCTGCAGACAACAGATGAAAATGCAAAATGACTCCCAAGGGAAGGACACGACTCAAATTTCTGCTGTAGTACATGTAGACAAAATAGAAATTCATATTTTATTCAAGAAACGAGAATCTCTGTTAACGTATGGGCTAGAGCAGCTGCACACAGTGTGTCTATCCCTGTCCTTAGGCAGCGATCTAATACTATAACACACCCAGCTGTGAAGGGAACACACTGGCGCGCTGGCAGGTGACACACTGCCCTAGTGCATAAGTCATGACCATGACTCCATGCTAGCAAAATCTGATACTTCTCCTTTAACAGCACAGTGCATCTCGCATGTGTCTAACACAAAGTCACTCATGCAGGCTTGGCACCTTCCTACATGTAGGTCGTCTTTCGAAAGGTCACACATTCATCTGGCAGGGCGCCGACTGCACTGTGGGTGTAAGCACGCTCCGTTTCCTACCTGAGCCGTCTCCCGAGCCCAAGTCGTCGGACCCCTGGCGGAAGGAGGTGGACCTCTGGAGGGCGCCCTTGGGCTGGTGTTTGAAGATGGCGGAGGAGAGCTCCTCCAGGGTGCAGCCCAAGAGATAGGCGGCCTTCTGTGCCCACTCGTGGCGCGCAAACTGTCTCCGGCCAGCTGCCAAGTGCACACCAACACCGGGCAATGTCAGTTCATTAACATATGAAACCACCCACAAGAGCAAATGCATAGTGAAATTGCAAAGCCATGGAAAATGGTAAATGGAGAGTAAACTACATTGCAAACCATAAACAAGATAAAGATACGGCACTGATCGTTAAATATTTACACAAAGCTCACACGCAATGAGTGTTCTTTGCTATATTGAAACAATACAATTTCTTAGAAAGCCAGAAACAATTTAGTATTTAGTATTAAAAGGTTAATGATACAACACTTTCTGTAAGGGGAACATATTTAGGTATAAAGTAGTCGCAAGACCTCAAGTGATTTGATTCCAGGGGTTTAGAACTGGAATTTTCAATTCATATTCATATAACATATTTGGAAAAGGAGCACAAAAATAATTGGAAGAGCAAGTGTAGAATAAAAAAATAAAAAAGGAAAGTATTTCCCTTGGGTCTATATAATTAATTGTTAAAAATAAACTATCTGTTAAAGGACAAGCTTTCATTTCTGCTTGGGGTCCAACAGAATTAGCAGGAAAATGAATGTAAATAAGATTTCCGACATCAAAGAGCCGGCTTTAAATTTTAACATTGCGATCTTGCAGTTTTATCTACATGGGAGACAGTGACAGCCACTGCCTTAGGAAGCCATGGAAAGTGTTTCTGAACAGGATGAAAGAACAAAAAAAAAATCAAAAGGCCAAACGTCTGGTTATAAATGATAATATAAAACACAAACAAGGAATAAGATTTACCTTCGTCTGCCTCTGCATTGTAACGGAGCAGCATGCAACATGCAAGCAAAAAGAGGTTGTTAGAATAATACCAAAATACCACGGCTGTCATTCATCTACATCAAACAGACACGCAGGGTGCTAGTCTGGACAAGTTATAAACTGCATTCTGTACGTAGAACACAATGCCATGCACTGAAAATGCTCACAAAATCACACCTAAGAGAAGCAGGTGAAGTGGGGCATGCTTTCAGCAGACAGAAGAAACAATACAACTTATGACAGGTACACTAGTGTCACTTCTCTACAGACTGAATGAATTAAGGGTCAATATAAAGTACAAACTTTGCTCAAAGTTCTGTGATCCTGTGTTCGATACAGAATCTTAACTGCAGCTGAACAGAGCACTAAACTTCCCGCAGAAGAAAACAGCATTTTATCCCTCCGGTAACAACACAGCAGACCATTGCTGTCCCCTAGTGGTGTGACTTAGTATCCAAGGGCTGATGGAAAAATGCTACAAAGTCTCAAATAAGCTAAAGATGCTGGCAAGATACACAAGAAGTACAGTACATCAGGCACACGTAATAGCAAGTAACTGTTTGATACAGTGCACAGAGCTGCAAAAGGAAAAGAGAATTCTGTGGTGTAAAAGTCTTTACTTGTTACAGGTTATCTTACAGTGCCCATTTCATTGACAACTAACTGAGAGGGATAGGGTGGATATATATAGATATATGCATGCATCTTTGTGCACATGCAATGTGTTTATTTGTGTATGTATATGTATTCTATATGCTAGCACAGCTTCCACGACTGCAAGCTGTGAGGTCAATGAATGCAGCATGTACTACACCCAAAGTCTCTTGTTTCTTTAGTATAGACACTGATTTTCTAAACTTTTTTGCACCAGAGCAAACCTGAGTCCCCATTTGCCATCGTCATCCATTGTCAGCAAGCCATTTAATCCTGGCAAGGGTCACAGTATTCCAGAACTACAGAACTGTGGAACTACAACCTGAAAGAGACCGCAGTCCATCACACAGCACAGGCACAAATTAGAGGAGGGAAGAAACTATAGCACCTGGATAAAAACCCAACAGGCACATGGGAAGAACATGCAAATTCCACACAGAAGATACCCCGGAATTGCTGGAATTGAACCCTGTGACCCAAGAGCTGTGAGGCAGCAGGTTTACCCCCTATGCCACTACAGTAAGCTTGCAAGGTTAAAAGGTTGAAAAGTCTAGAATATAAATATTTTCCCATAATCCTGGGGAAAACACCTGCTAGGATATGTCTGCAAAGAAAAAAATGGGACAAACTTTGCACTGGAGCAAAAGGCTTTGAAGGTTGAACCATATACAGTAAGCCGAGTGTGGTGAATTTGTTCAGGTGCGAGTGACAACGAGCAGCCCTTTGTAGCAGGGGACTGTGCTGAGCTGACTGACAGGGGCTGTTTCAAGAAGCCGCTGTTCCACAGAGTTCCCTCATGAAACACACAGACAATGGTGGGAAAAAAAATGCCAAGACAGAATAGTCTGGAACCGAATGATTAAAAAGTTCATTACCGAATCCGTCTACGACCGAAACTGCAGGAAAGGCAATATTAGAGGCTATGAATAAACATTCCTAGTGGGGAGACATCCATCTTCATTAGAACAGAAGAAATCTCTCTCCTCATTCACAAGCTGCTGCTGAGCCAAAACCCAGCCACACAGATCTATAACCTGGCCACTCTAACAAATTAAAAGAGCTTCAAGGTGGTTTTCTCCTCCTAAAGGAGGAAGGACTAATGTTTTCTTTGTGTTTCCCCCCACACACACACACACATACAGTAATTGATTAAATCTGTATTTGTTAGTATCTTATTTAAATTTAAATCAATACACCTCAGGGAGGCTTTTTAAAAAAGATAATTGGAAAGAACATCATTTCACTTAACTTAAAACCATATTTATCTTGCAGTTAGACCATTTTGGTGGGGTCAGTGGTTTGAGCACACAGATTACTAAGCCTTGAGTGACCTGACATTTAAAGAGTACCTTGCAATAATGAACACAGTGTGCTTTTTGGGTCAGTACTTTGCTAACAGCAGGAAAAGCACAAATTGTTAATCAGATCTCTTCCTCCTCCTAACCACTTGTGTGCCTGTGAAAACACCACTCCCAATTAGCCACAGAGAGCCATCGACAGTATTACAATGGGATCAGAACACATCCACAGCACGGAGAAGTACTGCTCTCCCTAGATAAAGAGGCAGTGTGCCTGAGTCTCATCATTAGAACTCACAACCTTGTCCAAAAAAAAAAGCTAAAAACATTTGCAAGGTAATTGGAGCACTTATTTAAAGAAATATACAAGCTGATGGTGTAGGTGTACGAATTTATCTACTTTTTATTTTCTTGAAAGAATTTCAGATTGTTTGCTGTTCCATTTTTAAAGAGCCTGCCCACTTCCAAAATACCCTGGCGCGGGGCTGAAAGGCAGCGTATTTCGGGACACAGCACATTAATCAGAACAACAGCCTTGTCTGTCTGGCGTGCTGCGACACAGGCTCCTATCACAGGAGCACCTGCAGCTCTCCTGCTCTCTCATCTTCCCTCCAGGAGACAGGGCCACACGAGATGAGAGGCTCTTACCTTTGGTGGCACCAGCTGCCCCTAAGTGGTAGATTGCTCCCAGGACGAGCCAGAAGGCTTTCTGCTCCTCTGACGAAATCCCGAGGACTTTCATCGCAGCTTGCAGCTTAGTGAACTGCTGGGATGCCTTCTGTTTATCTTCAGGCTATGAAAGCATGATTATGGAAATTAACCGTTTTTGTGCGTCTGTGGGTTTTTTTTTTTCCCGGTTTGTTTTTAACTTTGCAAGGGCTTTTTTTCGACGGCCCCGGCCAGGCCCCTTTCCCTTTGAAAACCAGGTTTTTTGAATTTCGGGGGGGGCGGGGTTGCTTGTTCTTTTCGTTGGATTTTGGTTTCTTTCGTTCCCCGGTTGAGTTTCTTTACCCAGGCTTGCCGGTTTTGTTTTTTGGCTTGGGGGGGCGCTGCCTCATGTGTGGCAGTCTGCGCCACTGCGCAGGGGCAGGGCAAGGCATTTCTCACACATGTAGGATGCAGAGCTGCCAGCTGGAAGACAGAGACAGCTCCCGCATAACAACTTACCAGCCCAGTTCCGAAAAAGACGTCTTCTTCCATTCATTAAACAGAAAACATTAGAACGACTGCACCAGAGTGGGCTTGGCTATCGAAACGCCACAGGACAGAGTGTAGCGGGAACTAGCCTCCATCTCGGTTTCACATTTCCCAAGACTATTTTAACAGGAGGTGGCTGTGTGAGGCTTTATAAAACAGCCCTTTGTTTCAATGCCTTGCACACAGCCACTGCCCAGGGCTGGCAGGACTCCGTACCTTGGAGTGGGGGACAATGCCGAAAGCGCTGTTCTCGGCGAAGTGGTTGAAGTGGAGCTCAGTCCTGCGGGAGAAACGGAAAACGATCGTGAAAATGGCGTCCTGCCCTTTCTAGGTGTCGCGCTGCACCGTTACTGCGGGGCCTGATGCACGGCAGCTCAAGGAAGGGGATCAACGCAGACGGCCAGCAAAGCCAGCTGACAAGCCCCCGCGGGTTCTCAGCAACCCTGCCCTCGCCTGGTGGGGGGGGGTGAACTGCACATGAGGGAGTCAGGGGGCACCGAGTACTCCAGTTCTCAGCTAGCGAACAGCTTAACCCCCTGGGTGTAGACAGGCAATGGAAAAGGCACTGAATGACACCGCACTGAGCCAGTTGTTTGTCCACTGTGTCATCTGGTCTCTCTCACTAGAATGATTCTTTATCACAGATATTTCACCTAGGCATGACCAAACAAAGTTTCTGATTTTATGTACAGGTGAAAGCACTTCCTGAGTTAATCACTAATCATGTGCACTTGTTTTGCAGCACCTATTTCTAATTACCTTCTTAGCTGATATGGAAGCAGTAAGGGTGCACTTTGTCTCACAAGTCTCCTGAATGTTTGCTGATTTTCTTGTTTAATAAATAATGACAAAGTAAAATGAATGTTATTTGTCACATGATTTAGATTTACCTATTGTTAGGACTTGGTAAGGACTAGCCTAATACTTTGGACAAACACGAAGAAGCATACAGTATAGGCTGGCAGAACAATCAGTTCCACCTATGAAAAACACAAAAATAAAGCACAGATCAAATCATTTCTGTAAAAATAAAAGCAGTCGGGTACCTGAGAGAGCTGTCGGCTCCGGCCATCATGTAGTAGAAGACATTGAAAGTGGACTCTCCCTCGGGCCGCTTGGCCACTCTGAGCTTCTCCAGCAGCATGGTCTGAGTGAAGGCAAGGGCACCCAGTCAGCACCCAGTTACACCATTACCCCCTCTCCAGCAGGGGCTGGTAAGCCGTTTCAGGTGGCACTCATTGGAGCAATTACAGGCACAACTGTGGGTGAGGCCACACAATTCGGTGTGCTCCACTAGGTCTTAATCACTCAGCAGCCAGGTGAGTTTTAGAGATGGCAAAACTTCACTCTCCTGGCAATCCACAGCCTGTCCCGGAAGTACAGGGGACATCCTAAGTGGAATGCCAGTCCATCACAAGGCACATTCAGACACAAAGGGACAATTTAGAGACATTGATTAAGCCAGCATGCCAGCATGTCTTTGGAAGGGGGCAGATCCCTGGAAAAAACACGTTTGAATGTGTGTGTGTGTGTGGGGGGGGGAGAGAACTGCAAAATTCTTACTGAAGAATCCCCAGTTCAAAATCAAACCCAGAATCCAAGAGCCGTGAGGCCACAGCACTGACCACCACGCCATCTGCTCTGCCTTTCTGATAAAACTCAAATTCAGTCAGTGGTGTCTTTGAAACGATCACCAATTTCAAGTTAAAAAAACATTGTAAGAAAGATGGGCACGTCATGGGTTATGCCCACAGTGTGTGCAGGGCCGGGCAGTTTCTGCACTGGATTGCCCAGGGTACTGGGCGTGTCCTCTAGGCTCTCACAGTACCTGGATGGACGCCGATGCCACCTGGCCAGCCTGGTCAAAGTCCAGTGACACGATCTGCGAGAAGCGGCTGGCATTGCTGTTCATGGTGGTGGCGCTGTTCCCAAAGGCTTCCAGGATGGTGTAGACCGCCTGCCACTTCTCCGCTGGAAAGGCATCGGACATTAGGGAGACATATTTTGTGCAGCAAGGAATCCAGACCTCTCTTTAGCATGGTGCACTTCCCACTGTGATCAGTGAGGAAGTAGTTACAAGTTAATGATGCATGATAAATATCAAACTTTAGGGCATCTTTTAATTTGCAAGCCTCTTTTGGCTGTGAGATCTGCAACGGTGTAGTCCAGGCCCTGCAGAAGGGCATCAGCTGATGTACCTCTACTGAGACTGCAAGGAAGTCTATGATGCAGCTGTGCAAATCTAATGCAGTTTGGAGTTCCTCTGTGAGAGTTTTTTGTACTTGATGATAGAGAGCCATTCAGCGTGCAGAGGTGCAGATTTTGGTGAGTGTAGCTCCTGCAAAACCTGGACAGGTGAAGCAAGGAACACACATCGGACCAGTGCTATACAGCACAAGTGCACATACTGAAAACCAAGGAGGGGGTTGGGGCAGTTCTGAATTGACTTAGTGATTAAAAAAAAAGTTCACACATACTTCAATTCAGTGCTCAAAACCTACACAAGATTTTTGTTACAATTTTTATTAATTTGAGCAAATAATGCATATGTCTACACTATATGTCATCTTCTAAATATTGTGTGCCTGGAAGGTATTTTTTACACCGTACATGTTTATGAAAACTAGACACAGGAAACAGGAATAAACCCCATTTCCCAGAAACAGGTCATTCTTCACAGTCATGTTATTTTTATTACTTCTTCCAGTTTCACACCTTGGTGTTCAGTGTTAATCACAGACAGACCACTGACAGAGCTGTTTAGGTTTCACTACCTCAGAGCTCACGCCCACAGTCAGCCGTTTCCTTTGCAAACACAGATAACAACACATCACTTAATGGCACAGTTGATCACTGCCGCCAATTTCATTAGCAAATTAAAAGTTAAAAACTACTGAAACACTTTGATAAGCACAGCTAATTATCTGAGCACTCCTCTGCAAGTCATTACCAGCCACTCATTCATCACTGCTCTTCAATGACAGAAGCACCCGATTGATGAGCTGGTGCTTTTACGGGCTTCTCCCCATCCCCTTGGAAAGCTGCATCGCCACAGCGATGATTGCTAAATGTACAGAAATCAAACACAGCTCTGCGTGTGGCGATCAGTCAGGCAGCTGAGCCCTGATTCGAACAGCTAGGAGCACAGAGCTCCGGTCTGTAAGGAACTGGCTCGATCTGTGAAGGAGGAAGGGCTGCTGTGCAGTAAAAAATGCAGTGACTCTGCCACGCTGGAGGAAGAGAGCACATAGCAGCAGGGGCCAGAGAAATGTTTCCTTCACACCTGAGGACAGGGGTTAAAATCATTCAGGTGACCAGCAAGAAGGAGGTCATTCAACCCCTGGTGTAATCAAGCTCAGCTAAACAAGCCATTATGCAAACACAGATCAGAAACTGTAACAAGAACATCCAGATGTGCTTTTATATGTTGCCCTCCATTATTTATAGGCTGCCCAAACTTTTTTATTAATATGACTTTATCTGGCAGATGTTTGTTATTTTCCAAGCACCTTAAAGAGGCTAGAGCTACCAATGTTTTTTTTACTCACACAGTTCAACTACTAATTTAACGGGCTGGGTTTCCCAGAGCTATCTGGGTGAAGCCCCTGACCTGCCAGGGATCTGAACCCAGGGCCGCCTGGTCAAGATCCCAGAGCCCCCAACCACTGGCGCCACCTGCCGAAGCACCAGCATGATCCGCCACGTTCCCGTCAGGAACAGCATGACCTCGCACTCCCACATGACGATCAGATTTGAACTTTTGCTTATTAAGTGAAAAATGCAAAGAGTGCAAATCTAGCACGGTGGGCTGGCAACCTCATGCTGGCCTGGCGGTGCCTGCAGTGGGTCGTGCCTGGGGGCACGGGCGTGCGTCTGGGCGGCTGCCCTCACCGGAGAAGGTCTTGCCCGTGCTGCCGGCGATGGAGACCAGGTACTGCACCAGGTGCTGGCAGTTGGTGGTCTTCCCGCTGCCGCTCTTGCCCAGCAGCACGACGGACTGGTCCTGCCGGGTGGTCAGCAGGTTGCGGTAGGCGGCCTGGGCCACGGCGTAGATGTGGGGGGCGGAGTCCTCCCTCCGGCAGCCCTTGAACATGTGCATGACCTGTCGGCGGGGCAGGAGGGGAGAGAAGGTAAGGGCGCTTTGAGTGGAGCGTCCGGAAAAGCGCTGTATAAGGGTAAGGAATTCTTATAATGGTACGCTGGGTAATGAATGAGGAGCGAACCGGCTGGCAGACAGTGGAGCAGGCAGTACCTTCTCAGAGTACATGGAGGGGGCGCTGATGGGGTTGATGACCACCAGGCTGGGCCCAGCGTGGGTGTGGATGAGGTTGCCGCCGTAGCGCTGGCGCAGGGAGTGCATGACGCTGGACTCATTGAGGTAGAGCAGAGCAGCCAGGTCCTCCACTCTGTCATACGCAGGGGGGTTCGCCTGTTGGAGAAAGCGGGGGGGGCGAAGGTTAGCAACCACCATGCGGGGGTGGAAAGGGTCAAAGTCACCTGACTGTTCCTGAATGCCCAGGCGGTATCGACTCTTAAACTCACACTGCCTGGCGTTTCAAAAGATCTTGTGTTATCAAAGCGGGGGGGCCGGGAAATATCAAACAAGAGGAAAACCAGAAACTTTACATCCACGGAGAGAATCACAGAGTTTATTAATAAGATTCTTAAATTATTCATTTCAGTTTGTCAAGCTGCCAAGCAGAAACTTGCGAGATTCTGAAGTCCCCACTAGGTTGTATCACAGCAGCTCTCACAGCCCTCAAACAGGCTGGACTGGAGCATTTTTCTTCCCCCCAGTGGCACCAACCCTGAAGAACACTGTTCACTAATCAACGCCTTCCCTGAAAAATCAGTGAGCATTTCTGCAGGCCAGTCAGCTGAGCCCAGCCAAGGGTCCAAGCAGGAGACAGGAGCTGTGTCCTATAAGACATGGTCTTCCTGCTTCCATTAAGTCATGTGAATCTCCAAAAGTCACAGAATAAATTCAAACTGGCGTACTGACCATGCAGCTTCGTGTCTGAGGAAAAGGAACAGAGGAAGAATGCCAGCAAGATGAGGGAGCCAAACTGAGCAATCCCAGCGAAAAGCCTCACAGCACTGCCCTGCAATTTCACCACCTTCTCTAGAGGGACTTTGTAACCTGTTTGTTTACTACACCTCAGAGCTTAGTGACTCTGGAGATCTGTCCTGACCACCACACAGCTGTGTGTCAGACAGCTCTGATGATGTGACATCATCGCGTTTAATTTCATTTCAGAAGTGACCTTCTCCACGTCATCCTCGTCCACGTCCAGTATCGTCCCATCATGTTCCAGTTTAATCTTCACTTTTCCTTCCGGAAGACTGCCCTCCTCCGTCTTCAACAGCGTTGCTAAAAGAAGAGAACGAGGCAGTTACACAGGTGGCAATCAGCAAATAACTGCGCCCGCCTAGTCTAGAGCTGTTTGGCATTGCGGCTCTTTGCATTCTTCTGAAATAATTTGAAATTTCATGCACACCATTTTCTTTGTAAACATTTCATGGAAGATCAGACTGCTGCAGACCAGCAGGGCCAAACTGCACCAACACCCCACCTCCTGTGCCCCCCGTTTTTGAACAAACCCAGGTGTCCCCCATGAAGAGCAGGCGCTCTGGGAGAACTTGACTTGGCCAGTCAGTGGAAGAAGGCAAGACAGCTGCAGTGAGATGGCAGTCTGTGCTGCACCGCAGTGCTATTAATTACCCAGGGAGAATCCATCCTTGTGTACCAGCCACACTTTCTCTGTGCCATACCAGGCCTGCTCCGCCACAATCTGCTCCTCCGTCTTCACCTGCAGGAACAGAGACGAGGGTCCGTCACGAGAGAAGAGGGCAACAGCATCCCGACACCCAGCACGCGCTCAGGGATAAACGTGGGAGGAGGAATGAAAACTCATTTCCTATTGTCCAAACCCTGAGCCTCTAGTCTTCTTCACCTTAACTTGCACAAAGACAGCAGGACTCTTTAGTGCCCTTTTTACTCAAAGATACCTGCACACACCAGCAGTTGTGCAGAAGTTACTTCCATTCTTTTTGTAATTCATTTCCATTCCATTTTCCATCGTTGTAAATAAATGAAATGCAAACAAGTGAAAGTGGTAATTGCTTCAATTAGCAAATCACAAGCTGGCAATGTAAAACTGTTGTTTACGAACATGTTAACAATGGCAAAGCTTTCATTGGCCAGTGGTTAGGATTAGGATACACAGGAAAAGACCAGGCACGATATTTGTAATGAATGCTTCTCCTTTTACTGGACACCTATTCCAAGTTTCCATTCCTCTCCAGAAGTCACCCCCTGCCCTACACTGGAAATCCCATCTCTCTCCTTCCGTATTTAGAAGAATTGGGGGAAAGAGTCTGGGCTGCTGTTAAGACTGAAACAATACTGAACCGCTACAGAAAGACACTCTCTCAGGCTCCTGCCATTGCAATTAAATTGCTAAGACTACAAAAATGGAATTAGGGGAAACATTTGCTGTCTGGGAAGTTAAAAGAGGTAATTAATGCTACTTTAAAGAATCACAGCACTTACACAGTTTGGCCATTGTGTAAGTAGCTGTAATTCTGAGGTAAGTGTGGATTATGTAGTGGGTTTTCATCTGCATTTTTATCTTGTTGGAGAGGACCAGAGCAGGTGTGGGTGAAACCTGTTATTACAGGCAAGACCTGAATGAGAGTCTCTTGCCGCAGGTAAAAGGCATCATGCTGCGTTTCTGCACCTTCCCTTGCAGTCTCTTCCAATGACTTTTTGCCTGAGAGCTACTTTTAAGACCTCCCTAGTATGGAAGAGCAGGTCCACAATGAGGGCACTGAGCTGCCTTGCGAGCTGACACTGGGGTAAGCCCCCACATCGAGGGCACAGGAAGAGGGCAGTCGGTCATAAAACAAGGTCATGCCAACTTAGTCACTACAACATACACAGCTCACGTCAATAAAACAGCCACTCATGGCAGACGGGCAACTTTAAAACAAAAAACACACACACCAGCTCCTCTGGTCCTGTGCATATTCGAACACATCTGTGCCAGAGGTCAGGGATACGGAATTTCAGTCCTTGAGGGCCAAATTCTTTCAGGTTTTACAGGTATTTTTCGACTGGCAAATGATTAAGAGAGCAAAGAAAACAGACAATCTGACTTTTCAGCCAAATAATTCGGTCAATGAAGTGATTCAGATTAGCTTTGGAATAAAACCCAGTACCCTGGCAGCCCTCAAGGACCATACGTGCTCATTCACGAGCGGCGTAACAAGCTTTTAAATAATATTAACTACAGCGCATCTGAAAAACAGCTTTGACATGCAACCAGAAGTGAGGTCTGGTTAGGAATACACTGCAAACCACGAAACACTCTCGGAGTGCACTTGCCTCACAGAACCACACAAAAACAGAGCAAACACCAAACAGTGTAGAATACTTAAGAAAATTCTTGTCGCTGCTGCATTTGTAATCGAAAACTTGCAGAATTGTAAAATTCCATTGCATGTGTTTCTTTTTTACAAAAGCGTTTACCACTTTTTTAAAACACAAAGGACGCTTCAGAAATATGACATATCATCTTGCTTGCCAGTCGGTGCAGCTCTTTTTTTTGTTTGTTTTGGTGATTTTAGTAGTATTCTACTCATTGATGGGTTTGAAGGGTTGGGAGCAACAGCCACACACAGAACTCAGGGGATGAGGAGAGCCGGGGTCAGGGGTCAGGGGTCAGGGGTCAGGGGTGAGCGGGGAGCTGGGGCAGGCTCGAGATGGGAAGCTCGGCTCGCTCACGGTCAACGCAAGGCAGGGGCACACCTCGGGCTTGGCAGCAGCAGCAAGGGCAGCATGAAGGACAGTAGCAGGGTCCTCATCTACCTTACCCTGGTGGGAAGCAGGCGAGGAGGCAAAGCAAGAGTTAAGAGATTAACCACGGCTTTCAGTCAGGTATCAGGCACTCTAAGTGCCCTGCACAGGCTCAGAGGCCAGACCGCAGCCCAGCCTCTCTCATACTGCAGCACAGGCTCCGACGCTACAGACCTCTTCCATGGTGAGTGACACCCACTAAACAGACTTTACTAACAAAGAAAGGGTTAAATGGCTTGTTTACATGGGATGTCTATTCATCTATGTTAAGGACTTCATTCTGAACAATACAATCTCGTGAAGTGTTTAAAGATCACTGGAAATACAGTGCAATAGCCTGCTTTTTGTTCATTATTTTTCCACCGATGTGGTGGAAAACTGGGACTCAAGGCTGAGGCCCGATACAAGTGGGAACTGTACCACCCAAGAAGAGCCCTAACACCCCGCTGCACGGCTGTCATGAGGGCAGGGCTGTGCAGCCTTAAAGAGCTCACCTGGAAATGAAGTTTCTGTGTTAATCCACTCTGAATGTCAGGACCTCCTCTGAGAGGCTCCCTAAGGGCACCAGGAAAGCTAAGCAAAGGAGTTCCTGTGTCATCCGGAGACACCCGATATTTTACTAGAAATACTAGAAATTAGATGGGTATCTTTTACAAGCAGATGCATTATTGCAAGTCATAAGGAGGCGCGTCATCAGGGAGGTGATCCGAGAGCTTGTGTGATGGTCTGAGCTGGTGATGTGGATGTGGTGTGATGGACACTGAGATGGCACACGTAGAGACAGGAGGCCTGGAGAAAGTCATTAGGCAGCAGCCTGGGCATTCGCACCTGACGCACACAAATCACTGTCCACTGCTGACACTGCTCCCAGGGGTCCACACACTCCTCTGTATCGCACACACACTCACTCCAAAAGCATTTAAATGGGCGGCGTAGGGCCAGAAGCTCACAGTGCTTTTGCATCGCATACTTTTTCCAAAGGGGAATCATCTGCCCCATCATGAAGGCAGAGGGATGCCAGAATAATAAGCATTAGTAGGGTCTGTCATTAGCTAACCATTTTGTGACGTGACCAATATGTCAGTAATAAATATAGTATAGTACCTGCTACGAAGCACACCTTAATGAAAACACATTCCTTTAGGTTTATTTAAAATAACGTAAGATCTTTTTTTAAAAAAATACTGATTAAAAAAAGCCTTAATGATTTGTTATTCATATCAAGCCCTTCAAACACAAGCCTAGCAGAAGATAAAGTTTATAAAGTGAAGGGAGAGCCAACACACAGGAAATGGTGGAACAAGACTGGATTATAGTTTTAAAAAGAGTTAAAGGATCAATAGGTTAATCACTGGATTGCAGGATTATACAAGTACATAACAGGAGAACACAAGAGTGTCTTGCTGGGGGTGCATTTGTCATTGAGTGTACAACGGATGGAAAAGGTAGACGTGATGGGTTAAAGAAAGTTGGTGCTAGAAAAATAACTGGGGAGAGGTGTGCAGTTGGGATTTCTAGAGTAAAGTATGGCTAGAGCTGCCCATCTAAAGCTTGGGAAGTCTAAAAAAAGGCTCTTCCTGAGATGGGTAAAATCAACAGGCAGTTCTCCACACAAATTCAGAAGAGTTTCAGTGTTGATTAATGAAGTGTAAAGAAATGTCAGTCTGGTACAGGTTAGTCTGGAGAAATGTGCATGTGGAAGAGGTCAGTCTGGAGATGTGTCAGTCTGGCACTGGTCAG